AATGAATCCCAACAGTCCGTCTATCACATACGATATCAGTCAGTTGTTTGATTTTATTGATGATCTGGCAGACCTCAGCTTCCTTGTTTACCGGGCTGATACCCAGACATACCAGCCTTATAACAAAGACTGGATCAAAGAGAAGATCTACGTGCTCCTCCGCCGGCAGGCCCAACAGGTGGGAAAATAATGGAGTGGAAGCAGTAGGGGGATGGGGGTGGGCTTGGAACACAGGTGTGTACAGCGTGCTGTAGTGGGAGTTTTGTATTATAGTGATCCTGTTTCCACTTGGTACACTCTAGCCAGATTGAATGTATCAGATGAAGTGTGAGAATGTTGTTCAATCTGAAACCCCCATTGCCCCTTTTTTCTTTTCTTTTTCTTCCCTTTTTTTTTTTACTTAAACATTTTTATGAGGATTTAGATGGAATTTTTTTGTCAGTTAATGTTGGTTCCAGAGCTTCAGACTGTTGAGATCTGCTTTATAACAGTCACTGTACTAACCCTTGGAGATGGGGTGGGGGGTGGCTCAGTTAAGTTACATCCTCAAGTGAAACTCTTAGTGGAAAATAAATGTTCTTTAGTTATATATATATATATATATACACACTTGAATCACACATTAGAGTATGTGAGTTTACTTCCTGGCTGTGGCTCCAACTTTAATATCTGATAATTTTTGAACCTTGAAGGCATCAGTGAAGGCTCAAGTACTGGGTTGGGTACCTGACACACTCATGGGAGACCTGGATTGAGTTCTCCACACTCTTCTTCACAGGGGTCCACTTCTGTCCCTCTGGGGCATTTGGGGAAATAACCAGCAGATGGCAGCATTCTCACTCTCGCTCTCTATATATGTTTCTTTCCAATTTGTAAAACTCCATACCTCTCAAAGAAATTTTTTTTTAAGATTTATTTCTTGGGGCCAGCACTGTGGTGTAGTGGGTTAAAGCCCCAGCCTGCAGCACCGACATCCCATATGGGCACCAGTTCTAGTCCTGGCTGCTCCTCTTCAAATCCAGCTCTCTGCTATGGCCTGGGAAAGCAGTAGAAAATGGCTTAAGTCTTTAGGCTCCTGCCCTGGCGTGGGAGACCTGATGGAAGCTCCTGGCTCCTGGCTTTGGATGAGCTAAGCTCTGGCTGTTGTTGTCTTTTGGGGAATGAACCAGCAGAATGGAAGACCTCTCTCTCTCACTCTCTCTCTCTCTGGCTCTGGCTCTACCTCTCTCTGTAACTCTGCCTTTCAAAGAAATAAAATAATTCTTTTTAAAAAATAATTATTTATTCAAGAGTCAGAGTTAAACAGAGAGGTAGACAGAGAGAGAGAGAGAGAGAGAGAGAGAGAGGTCTTCCACCCACTGGTTCACTCTGTACTTGGCTGCAATGGCTGGAGCTGCACCAATCTGAAGCCAGGAGCCAGAAGCCAGGGGCTTCTTCCAGGTCTCCCATGTGGACACAGGGGCCCAAGGACTTGAGCCATCTTCTACTGCTTTCCCAGGCCATAGCAGAGAGCTGGAATGGAATTGGAGCAGCCGGTTCTCAACACAGTGCCCATATGGGATGCTGGCACTGAAGGTGGCAGCTTTACCCACTATGCCATGGTGCCAGCACCACGAAATGTGTTAAAAGTACAAGAATACGGGCCATGGTTGCAGCGCAGTTGGTTAAGCTACCAACTGAAACATTGGCATTCCATATCAGAGTCCTGGTTTGAGTCCCAACTGCTCTGCTTCAGATCCAGTTCCCTGATAATGCACTCACCAAGGCAGATGAAAATGGCCCAAGTGTGGATCTCTGACTCCCACGTGGGAGATCTGGATAAAGTTCTGGTTTCCTTTGTCCTGGTGCAGTCCCAGTGGTTGGAGCCATTTGGATAGTGAGTCAGCAGATGGAAGAACTCTCCCTCTCTCTCTATCTTTCCATCTCTCCCTCTTTCTGTCACTCTGCCTTTCAAATAGATAATTTTTGAATAGGATTTCAATAAAATTAAAAAAATAATTGGTTCATGAGAGTTCTAAGAGCTGCAGGGATGTTAAGCATTGGTCTGATCATAACCTGCAAGGAACACTTTCTAGACTGAGGATTGTCATCCCAGCTTTAATGTTTTTCTTGTTTTCCTTTTGTCCGTGGGAGCACTAAGTTACTTGCAGGAGCACTTTTGGGGTTTCTGGTTTGAGCAGGATCTAAAATTACCAAATAGTCTATTTAGGGCATTGAAAAAATTAGTTAGCCAGATACTTTAGTTATAAGGAGCTGAGTTACACTTGGGATCCTCTTACCTCAGCGTTCTACAAATAAGCAATCCTTACATTTCCAAATACCTTTCTTGGATAGTATCTTCCCACTCTCCTATCCTGTGTTATCTTGGTATCACTACACAGTGACACCAGCGCTGGCACCCTCTCTCCCAGAGAGAGGATGTGCTGATCTTGGCTGTCCCACACCAGTGGACTCCTCTGACCTCCACATGGAGGACCAAAGGGCTGTCTTCCCTCCTCCTAATTTGGAGTCTTGGGAGGGGCAGAGCCACTCCCACACAGAAGTTGAGCATGAGGGATACCAGGGTCACTGGCTGGCCCACAAGTAGGGACAAATGTCAATACGGGAAGGGCCTGGTGGTAATTCAGGGCTGTTCTCAGCTGTAAGCCTCTGTATGACTGTGACCTGCCCATTGGTTTCCCTGAGACCTACCAAGTATGCTTTGGAAAGAAATTCTCTGCTCACACAAGTTCAAGTGGGTCCTTGCCATTGCAGCTGAGAAGGTGACCTGGTGCCTACACATTAAAGTGCTCATCATAATTTGCTGTCTTCCCCCTAGAGAAGTTTCCTGCATGACAAGAAGGAGGTCCTTGCTAGCAGGGAGAGAAATCAGGCTGCCCTCCTGCTTCCTGGGCACAGTGTCCAGATGGTATTCTGAGAGCTCTGTCAGGACGCATTAGGGGTTCAGTGGGGCCTTCCTCTGTCCCGTGGTTCCTTCCCAGGCATTGTGGGAGCTGCCACTGCTGACTTGTCCACCTCCCTCTAACTCTCAGGGGTTACTCTCAGTGTCCCTGCAGCTCCTACTTCCCCAACAGGCCTCAACTGGAGGAAGAGACTCAACCTGAAGGCAGCACTTTGGAAATGTGTGCAATTTGAAGTTTGACTTCTAGGCATCCATACTAAATGTAGATATTCACAAAGGCACGAGTGCCCTTCAGCATAATCTGGGAATGGAAAATTGATAGAGCCCAGTATGTTTTTTAATATATTTATTTATTTTAAAGAGTTACACAGAGAGAGGAGAGGCAGAGAAAGAGAGGTCTTCCATCCGATGGTTCACTCCCCAACTGGCCGCAATGGCTGGAGCTGCACTGATCCGCAGCCAAGAGCCAGGAGCTTCTTCCTGGTCTCCCATGCAGGTGCATGGGCCCAAGAACTTGGGCCATCTTCTGCTTTCCCAGGCCACAGCAGAGAGCTGTATTGGAAGTGGAGCAGCTGGGTCTCAAACGGGCACCCATAGAGGATGCCGGCACTCAGGCAAGGGTGTTAACCCACTGCACCACAGTGCCGACCCTGACAGAGTCCAGGATTGCACAGCAGGGTCTGCTGAGTGAGTTGTGTGGCTGATGAAGGTGCACAAGGGACAGGAAACCAACTGTTTTCACCCCAAGCTGACAGGAGATGACAGAAGAACACATGGCCTGGGTGTGTCCCCATCCAGGTAAGACACACAGACCTGAATCTCAGGGTGAGGCTGGGAAGGAGAAGGACCTCACAGAGTGGGCAACACTTGTGGGTGAAGGGACCACATCATCCTTTATTTCATTTTGCAGTTAAGCTGGACTGCTTGTTTTACTCTATTAAATAGTTCTTAGTTCTCTCTGTGTCAGAAATGCTATAAAATTCAGGCTAGCTAATCAACTTGAATTTCATAATAGGTGAAGTGTGTGGATAGCTGCTAACACAATGCATTGTTCTTTTTATAACCACAAAATGTGATTATTTTTGTATATACTGAGATAACAATTCAAGGTTATAGAAAATATTTTGAAAGTTCCCACCAGCAGACTGGAGTGCTGAGTGCTCCCTGTCTTCTCTCCTCTGCCCCTGCCCCCCTTCATTCTGCCTCTCAAATCAATATTTTAAAAATAGAAACAACACTTGATTCCAGCAAGTTCTAAGTGTCCCTGGGATATGAACCATGAGTCTGGACATGGCCTGAATGGAACACTTTCTCGTTTGAGGATGGTCTCCTAGCTTTTAATGTTTTTTTTTTTGTTTTTCTTTTGGCTACAAAAGCACTTATTTTCTTATCTAGCTCTCATGTCATAGGAAAATATTTCCTATTCTAAGATTGTGAAAATATTTCTTGTTGATAATTTATTTTTTAACATATAAGCTTTGATTCCTCCAGGATAGTCTTTTTAAATTATTTTGGTTAAAACAAAGACAAATGAGCCAGTGTTGTAGCGTTAACAGGTTAATCTGCTGCCTGCATATCCAGCATCCCATATGGGTGCCAGTTTGAGTCCCAGCTGTTCCATGTCTGATGCAGCTCCTGCTAATGCACCTGAGAAAGCAGTAGAGGATGGCCCAAGAACCTGAGACCCTGTGTCCACATGGGAGACCTGGAAAAAGCTCCTGGCTTTGGCCTGGTCAGACCTGGCCATCGCTGACTTTTGGGAAAAGAGCCAGATGATGGAGGACATCTTTCGCTCTCCCTCTCTCTCTCTCTCTCTCTGCTTTTCAAATAAAAATAAGTAAGTCTTTAAAGAAAATAAAGGAATGTAACCAGCAGGTTTTCTATGAAGTGGCAAGAAACGACAAGCCATTTACTGTGTTAGGACATGGATACGTAACATCTATTGTAGTTACAGGCGTGAGGACAGAGTGAAGAGTTTACCAGGGACTAGGGATGGATGGTTGAAGGCAAATATTTGGGGAGTACAGATGGCTGAAAGATTCCAGAGTGGCACAGTGGTGATGGACACACAGCATCAATTAAAGTGGTTTCCATGGAATACCTTAAAAAGTTAAAATAGTAAATTTTATTAAAAGTGAATTTTATAGTATACTGAATAGTAATTTCTTATGCGGAGGTAAAGGAGAAAGATGAACATTACTACATATTGTGTAGTAAGGGAGGGGGCTGTGAGCGCTGGCCCAGGGACAGGTGCCAGCTGTGGAGCTGCAAAGAGCTCAAGGTCTTGGGACTCAGCAACAGGCATTTCCTGCCCACAAGGTTGCAGTAGGTCAGAGACTGGGGTGGGGTCTGGATCTGAATCTGCGGCATTCGCTGGCTCTGCAGCAGGAGCTGTTGCCACAGTGGGGTCTGGTGTGAGCTCCCTGGAGGTTTCCAGAGCTGGTGTGTGAGCCTGTTCTGGCTGTGGAGCTCCATCTGGCAACAGAGATGGAGGTGGCACAAGCTCTTGTTGTGGAATTGGAGCTTCCGCTGGCCCTGGAATCACAGGAGGAGAACATATCAGCAGCAGGCCTGACTTTTCCTGTCCCTTCCAGAGACAAAACCTTGTCTCTGACTCTCAGGGAAGCCTTTGACCCAAATTCTGCTTCCTGAATGACTTTCAGGAAGTTGATCCCTTGTTGCTCCTAGACCCGCCCCTGGTTCTGGAAGCTTTTCTGAGTGTGACACAAACTCTTCACCTCCCCGTGTATCTCACATGCACTCATCTCCGTCCTGCTCACCCTCTAGTTCTGCCTCAGTGGGCTCCGGGTGCTGCAATTGTCCCAGGAGGAGTTGCACACGGTGCCCCAGCTCTGAGTCACGCAGGAGGAGCTGTGCATAGTCCAGCAGCACGTGCAGACTGGTGTACTGCGGGGGATGATCGAAATCTTCCGGGTATTGCTCCAGCCAGGTGGCCAGGATGGACGAGATAGCACTGGGGGAGGCAGGTGGGCAGTCCAGTGAGAGGCCTGGCCCTTTCAGGCTGCACCATTTTCCCAAGATACAGGTGGGGCTTCAGTGCCTCCCATAGCTCTGACCCAGCTCATGCCACTGGTAAACAGCCAGGATAGAGCCCTGGTGCCTTAAGGGAGACTGACAAATGGCCATATGAGAGGGAGCCCTTGACCTTGGTGTCACCACATTTCCCTTTACAGTGAAATCTGATGCACGCTGTTGTCTGTGTCTTGTCCTCCCTAGAGTGCCAGCACCACAAATGCAGAGTTGGAGGTTATCAGCTTGGTGCACTCACTCTCTGGCACTCAGTAGGTGCTACCTAAGTAACTGAAGCAGGAGGAAGCAAGGAGGGCAACCTCTGTCCCAGGCTCCTGAGGCCTGTGCTACTATCCTCAAATGTTAGTGCTGACAGCACAGTGAATGGGTCTTCTCTTCCAGTGCTGCTCATGTCCCGCAGGGGCCTGAGCCCTGGGCACTGGCTGCAATCTCTGAACACCCATCATGCCTCACTGTGGAACTGCAGCCATATTTGTGAGCAGGATGCCCCCACTCCGACTTTGGGTCCCATGATGGACTGATGGTGAAAGCAGGTTTGGATGAGAGGTGGTGGTGCTGGATTCCCTCAGGGCTTTATCTTGTCCTCCCGCTACCCCTCCATGCCCCACAGTGCCTGTGGCCCAGTCCCAGCTCTCTGGCAACTTCATTCCTACAGGGTACCACACAGACCTCAGCTCTGCAAGAGCATCACAGGATGTTCAGATCCAAGGCTCCTTCTAGTTGCATGCAACCCACAGACCCCACACTTCCAGCACAATGTCATCAAAACTGTCATAAAAAAAATTGGGTCCCTCCACCTCCACCACACCCACTCACCGTTTGACTGCATCCTGGAGTACACCTTCATCAGTAGGAGGGAACCATGGGAACCTAGAGAGGCAAGGATGGTATCACATTGGTCACACTGTGGGCACCCCCTGTCCACTGAACATGTCTGAGTCCACCAAGAAGGGAAGTCCAGCAGGGACTGGGGCCTGTCCTATGCTATGCATCAAGGTCACTGCCTAGAAAGGTCCTGCAGATCGTGTGACATCATGGCCACCATGGCAGATAAACTCCATCCTGGTTCTTCCAAAGGAAGCTGAATAGGTCTGCAGTCCTCCTGCCCTCATCACATATCCCTGGTCTAGTTCAACCCCAAAACACCTGGATGGAATCTGGACCCTGCTCAACAAATACAGAAACAGCTTAACCTTGCATGGGCATTTGGCACAGTGTTATGTCACTTGAAATGCCCCCTTCCCATATCCAAGCTGCTGGGTTGGAGTCTTCATTCCAATTTCAATCCAGGGCCCTGTGAATGTGCAGCCTTGTGGAGAGGTTTTAACTCAGTCCTGGGGTCCCTATCACCCATGTAGGAGGTCTGTATTGACTTCTTGGTTTTTGACTACAGTCTCTCCTAGCTCATCTCTTCAGGCAAATTCTGTAGTGGAACAGCAGATGGAAGAATTTTTACTCCCTGTCCCTCTCTCAAAGGAATAAGTGAAAAAAATGTATTCAACCATTCAGCTCAATTTCAGAGAATCATAAAGGGCTATAGCAAGAACTCCCTTTCAAGGAGGGGAAAATAATGAGAAGAAGGTGGGGTGAGCTTGCCAAGACTCACAGCTAGGGGTGGCCTGGAGATTGAGAAGACTGACCTTCCTAACAGTGCGTTCAGCACCTGCCCGGTGGTGGCAAAAGCTCTGTAGCTTCTCAGGAAGGCGGGAACATACGAGGGCTCAAAGCCCAGGAAGGCTGGCACCAGGTGGTCCACCAGCTTCTGCAGCGTGTCCTCCTGGGCCCTCCACCCAACGTGGACATCATACTCGATCAGGTTAGATGGCTTTTTCACCTAGGTTAGGAGAAAGGAGGGACACACAGTCAGTGCAAGCTCCAGGAGCCACCAGAAGTGTAGGAGCTGGAGTTCAGACCAATGCCAAAGCCGTCATTGATTATTGTCCTGCATCGCACTGATGGCACTATGCTGACCACACCCCACACCCATCTAAAAGCCCTGAGAAGCAAGCACGTGGGGTGGCATCAGGGTCAGGATGTGGAACCCCCTCTGCACTCCTACTCACCCTGGGCCAACAGCGGCCTCTGTTGGCCTCCTGTCTCTCCACGTGGGAGATGGAGTACAGGACCTTGTTCAGCAACTTCTGACCTCTGTTGTGCTTGGAGCTCTGGAAAGACAGTGCCTGGCAGGTGCAGAGCAAACATCAGGGCCCTGCCTGGTCCCTTTCCCTCTGTTTCTGCCCTCGGGACCTCCTCTTCTCCTGACCACATGGACCTTGCATCACAGAAAACCCCCTAGAGGATGGGGCATGCTGGCATGCGGGATGTGAAATAACATCTGGGCAGTTGTGAGTGCCCAGATGATTTCTTCCTGCTCTGCCAGCCATGACCTGAAGTGTGAAGGTGACAGGACCACCAGGTTAAGGTCTCCCAGCCTGACCACCACCTCCACATGATAGGCCCTCCCCTCACATACTATTTCCCCCTCCCCAATAAAGGTGTTTTGGGGCAGCCCAGGTGCTTTCACCATGAAGTCCTGGCCTGAACAGCACTGTCCTGGGTGGTCCTGAGTTACCTGTGCTTGCCGTGTGCTACAAGGCTGGGGGTGGTGGGGGTAAGGCGAGAACCAACGTCGAAATTGCTGCCACAACCCCTCATCACGTGGGTTTCTCGGGCCATGGCCTCGAGAAGTGGGAACACAGCAAGAGAACATCTTGTTCTGTCAAGCGTCTCTCACCAAATGAGCTGGGCAGGGGCCTCTCTCTAGAATGTTCGTGCCTGGTTACCGGGGTTACAGGATCTGTTGTGGCCTGTCACTAAGTGGTACGGTTACAGTTGGGGCTTCCTTATCTCACCCCTCTTCTCCCATAAGAAGTCCCCAAACCACCCTGGGAGCAAATGTATTCCCACCCTGCTGTCCCATGCTGTCTCTGTTTCTCTACACAGTGACACCAGTGCCCCCTCCGAGCAGGGCCTATGGTCTTCCTGGGTGCTACCACAGTCACAGACACATGCAACCTTATTTCCAGCCCCTGTCTTTCACCAGGGTTGAACCCTGAATCAGTTACTGTGCCTCTCGGGACATTTCCAGTCTCAGAGCAGCAGAGTGGGATCATTCTAGAATCTACTCTAGGGATGTCATCAGCTATACAAGGGACAATACTGAGTGAGCCTATGGCTGGTGTCCTATGTATCTAATGCAAAAAGTAGAGCTAAATACAGAAGAGGGTGTCAGGTCACTTGGGATACAGGGTCTTTGACTCATTCGTGGGACGTGCACATGGTTCACCAATCCCCTTTTTGTCTGATGATTTCAAAGTAGCCTGGACAACTGAAAAGCAGACCTGATTCCTGTTATGTGAGCTTGGCATTATCCACCTTCCTTCCTTTGCATCAGTTCTCTGACTGCGTCATTAGTGGCTTGAATTGATCAAATCAGATATTGTCCTCCCAGACCTTCCAGTGTCTTGTCTTGTTCTTTAGGCCTAGACCTTAGTACGTGCCATCGACTTGTGTGTGGAACAGAATTAGGTTTGTAATGATTTGTTTGTTTGCACAGCAGAGAGAGAAGGGGAGCTAGAGATCTTGTATCCACTGGTTTACTCCACAAAGGGCTGCAAGAGCCAGCTCTGGGCCAGGCTGAAGGCAGGAGCCAGGGCCCTCATCTGGGACTCCCATGTGGTTGGCAGGGATCCAAGCACTTGGGCCATCTTCTGCTGCCTTCCTAGGCACATGAGCAGGAAGCTGAATCAGAGGCGGACTAATCAGGACTCAAACCAGGTTTCTATGTGGGATGCAGGTGGTGAAATTGATGGCTCAATCCGGGCCACCAAAACTGGCACAGTGGGCAGACTTCTAGCAGCTCCCAGCTCCCCTCACCTCCTGGTGCAGTTTCTCATGTAGTCCCCTGTCCTGAAGTGTGTATACAGCTAGGGACTCTCTTCTAGTTGATAGGATGAGATGTCATCTGCGAGATTTAGATGTGATGTGATTGCAACTAAAGCCTTTCTCTTCTCAGTTCTTTCCTTCTCTCTCCTCTCCTCCTATCTTTCCCCTCCCCTCTTTCATCCTCCTCCTCTTCCCTCTTTCTGCCCACCCTCTGTTAGTCCCCTGCCCTTAGAGATGGCTATGTTATCTGCTGCCTTTGGGAAAGCCATGTGGCTCAGAACCCAGCAAGGACAGCAGAGAGGGGAACTCTGTGCTCAGTCCACACTAAATCCTGCCAGTCCCCCTAAATCCTTCCCTATTTGAGCTTCTGTTGAGGCCACAGCCCCTACTCCTGAGAGCCTCTGTAGCAGTAGCCCTGAGGTGAGTTTACTGGACTTGTGGAGCAGTGAAATCGTGAGCTCATCACAGTTGTTGTAAATGGACACAGTGGAGTTGATGGTTTCTGAGGGCAGTGCACCAGCCCCAGAGTCAGCTTTGGCTCCACTCCATCCTCTCCTCCTCCCTGTCCAAGCTCTCTCAGTCCCACTGGCCACCTTCCTAACCTCCTCTCTGGGCAAACTCACTTCTGCACTGGAATCTACACAGTGGAGCCTCCCCAGCACACTGCTGTCAGCGTTGTGCAGAGCAGGCTCCTCTTCTCGTCTGCCCCAGCATAACTGTCCCTAAGTGTAGACCTTTCAGATTCCCCATGAAGTGGCTCAGCACTCTTGCAGAACCCTCACTGAGTATGTTACAGCACTTGCTCTTTGATTCCTGCTATTTTTATTTTCAAGATCTTGGTCTCCCTCTCCTTGCAGACTATGAGCTTCTGGAAGGCAGGAGCCAGGATGGTCTTTCTCAGTTGGACCCCAGGACTGACTTTGCCAGAAACAAGGTGAATGTTCAGGGCTCACCACAGCTGAAGCAGTAATGTTGGAAATGTTTGGGGCACAGGCAGGGCCTCCCCTTGGAGCACCTGGGTGGAGCTGGGCTGGTGAACATGGACCAACATGCACACAGGGTCTGTCTTTGCCCCGGAAAGCAGGGGCCTAATCCACAGTGCAGAGTCTTGGTGCTGGGCACCAAGATTCCTCCAGATGCATCCCATGAAGCCCCTCTCTGTGGCAGACAGGAAGTTGATGAGCAACAGTTAGCCACATGGACTGGGGCTATATAAAACTCCCCCAGGGAGAAACTGAGGTGCTGTGACAATTGCAGGTGGACCCAGAGGAGAGCAAGGTGACATGCTGGTGCCTCAGATTCATACAAGTCACCCACACCCTTTTGTCTGCTGACAGAATTCTGTATCAGAGAAAGGAGGTGTCTGGTCCAAGGTCACAGGCTGATTCAAGGTAATGTGGTGCTTTTGTTGGGATTTACTTTGCCTACATGTTGCACAGCCTCAGGATCAGAGAATCAGTCTGACTGGCAAGTGATTCATGAGACTGATAGGTTGTCATTCTCATGTCTCTTGAAGGTCAAGGTGACCAAGCCCACCTCAGTAGATGTGAATATTAAGACTGTATGGGATTTGCAGAGGGAGGGCAAATGGAGCCTACACAGCTGTGCAATCCCCTTGTCCTTCCTTCTGTCCTCATGCCCATCCTCTGAAATGTAGCCATCCTGAGCTCTGCTCCACAGCTCTTTGCAGGAGAAAGAGCACCCCCAGCTCCATCCTGTGCCACAGGGATTGTGGGTACATATAGGGCTGTTCCCATACTCTGAACTCCAAGCTGAAGAGGAGGGATGAGCTTCTGTTGGGGTGTCTGGATGCTGAGTTACCTACCACAGCCTCTGGTTTTTGGTGTTTGCTCTTTTCTGGAGAAGGGAGGGAGTCTAAGCAGGACACCTCAGTGGGAACGGAGCTCTCCATTCCCAGGCAGAATGACAGGAGCCACTGTATTCTCTCCTTTGCTTGTATTCTGTTAGGGGATCTTAGGAAATCCTGATCTGTACCCTGCACGGCCTGGTGTAGGTGCAGGGTTGTGCACAATGTACAGACAGCTGTGCCTCCCATGGTCCAAATGGAATCTCTGGAAACAGGCAGAGTGTTTGGCTCCACAATTTTTCTACCATTGACACTGGGAACCCATGTTGGAATTTATGATTAAAATAAATCCACACCAATAAGCTAGCAGGGGTGACAACAGAACATGGTACAATTTGTCACTGAAAGAAGTTGTTAGGAGAAAATATTTTTAAAATAATTTTGATAAATACTGTCTGAGCCAGGACAATAGACAATACAAAAATAATGATTTCTTTAGAATACATTCAAAGAATCTGCATGCATAAAATTAGTATATGGTCCAGAATTCTCATTCCTCATTGAAGTACAAAGTTTCACAATTTTTTTTACTGAGCCATATTTTAAGAAAAAACATTTAAGTGTTTAAGAACCTTAATACAGGTCGGTGCCATGTCTCACTTGGATAATCCTCCACCTGCAGCACCGGCACACAGGGTTCTAGTCCCGGTTGGGGTGCCGGATTCCTTCCTGGTTGCTCTTCTTCCAGTCCAGTTCTCTGCTGTGCCCCAGGAAGGCAGTGGAGGATGGCCCAAGAGCTTGGGCCCTGCACTTGCAAGGGAGACCAGGAGGAAGCGCCTGGCTCCTGCATTCGGATCGGGGCAGCGCCGGCCATGGTGGCCATTTGGGGGGTGAACCAATGGAAGGAATACCTTTCTCTCTGTCTCTCACTGTCTAACTCTGTCAAAAAAATAAAATAACCTTGTTACAGTTTGCCGAAAAAAATTTCTCTCAAAAACTTCTAAAAATATCAATAGAATTCTGTTTTACTGTTTATTTTTTTCTAACTTTTATTTAATAAATATAAATTTCCAAAGTACAGCTTATGGATAACAGTGGATTTTTCCTCCCTGTAACTTCCCTCCCACCTGCAACCCTCCCCTCTACTGCTCCCTCTCCCCTTCCATTCACATCAAGATTTTCAATTATCTTTATATACAGAAGATCAATTGAGTATATATTAAGTGAAGATTGTTTCTGTCGTGCAAACTTTTGAAAAGTACTGTTTGAGTACTAGTTATAGCATTAATTCACATTGGACAACACATTAAGGACAGAGATCCTACATGAGAAGTGTACATTTACTTCTGTTGTTGATTTAACAAATTGACACTCTTGTTTATGGCGTCAATAATCACCCTAGACTCTTGTCACAAGCTGCCAAGGCTATGGAAGCCTTTTGAGTTCACTGACTCTGATCTTATTTAGACAAGGTCGTAGTCAAAGTGGAAGTTCTCTCCTCCCTTCAGAGAAAGGTACCTCCTTCTTTGATGCCCCGTTCTTTCCACTGGGAGTGCACTTGCAGAGATCTTTATTGAGAAGTTTGTGGATTTTTTTTTTCCCAGAGTGTCTTGGCTTTCCAACCCTAAAATACTCTTATGGTCTCTTCAGCCAGATCCAAATGCCTTCAGGGCTGATTCTGAGGCCAGAGTGCTATTTAGGACATCTGCCATTCTATGATTCTGCTGTGTATCCCTCTTCCCATGTTGGATCGTTCTCTCCTTTTTAATTCTATCAGTTAGTATTAGCAGACACTAGTCTTGTTTATGTGATCCCTTTGACTCTTAGACTTATCAGAGTGATCAATTGTGAACTGAAATTGATCACTGGGACTAGCGAGATGGCATTGGTACATGCCACTTTGATGGGATTGAATTGGAATCCCCTGGCACATTTTTAACTCTACCATTTGGGGAAATTCAGATAAATTGTACATCTCCTCCCTCTCTAATTCCCATTATTATATATATATATATATATATATATATTTTTTTTTTTTTTTGACAGGCAGAGTGGACAGTGAGAGAGAGCAACAGAGAGAAAGGTCTTCCTTTTTTTCTTTGGTTCACCCCCAATGGCTGCTGTGGCTGGCGTGCTGCAGCCAGCGTACCATGCTGATCTGAAGCCAGGAGCCAGGTGCTTCCTCCTTGTCTCCCATGCAGGTGCAGGGTGCAAGCAGTTGGGCCATCCTCCACTGCACTCCCGGGCCACAGCAGAGAGCTGGACAGGAAGAGGAGCAACCTGGACAGAAATGGCATCATGACCATGACTAGAACCCAGTGTGCCGGTGCTGCAGGCAGAGGATTAGCCTATTGAGCCTCATTGCCAGCCCCCACTCTTATATTTAACAGGGATCACTTTAAAGTTAAGTTTCAACACCTAAGAATAATTGAGTATTAATTAAAGAGTTCAACCAATAGTATTAAGTAGATCAAAAATTAATACTAAAAGGGATAAAGTATTAAGTTGTTCCTCAAGTCAGGACAAGGACTGATCAAGTCACTGTTTCTCATAGTGTCCATTTCACTTCAACAGGTTTCCTTTTTGGCGCTTGGTTAGTTGTCACTGATCAGGGAGAACATATGATATTTGTCCATTTGGGACTGGCTTATTTCATTCAGCATGATGTGTTCCAGATTCCTCCATTTTGTTGCAAATGACTGGATTTCATTGTTTTTTACTTCTGTATAGTATTCTATAGAGTACATGTCTCATAATTTCTTTATCCAGTCTACTGTTGATGGGCATTTAGGTTGATTCCAGGTCTTAGCTATTGTGAATTGAGCTGCAATAAACATTAAGGTGCAGACAGCTTTTTTGTTTGCAAATTTAATTTCCTTTGGGTAAATTCTAAGGAGTGGGATGGCTGAGTTGAATGGTAGGGTTATATTCAGGTTTCTGAGGAATCTCCAGACTGACTTCCATAGTGGCTTGACCAGTTTGCATTCCCACCAGCAGTGGGTTAGTGTCCTTTTTTCCCCACATCCTCGCCAGCATCTGTTGTTGGTAGATTTCTGTACGTGAGCCTTTCTAACTGGGGTGAGGTAAAACCTCATTATGGTTTGGATTTGCATATCCCTGATTGCTAGTGATCCTGAACATTTTTTTCATGTGTCTGTTGGGGATTTAGATTTCCTCTTTTGAAAAATGTCTATTGAGGTCCTTGGCCCATCTCTTAAGTAGGTTGCTTATTTTGTTGTTGTAGAGTTGTTTGATCTCTTTGTAGATTCTGGTTATTAATCCTTTATCTGTTGCATAATTTGCAAATATTTTTCCCATTCTGTCTATTGCCTCTTCACTTTCCTGTTTCTTTTGCAGTACAGAAACTCCTCAATTTGATGCACTCCCAATTGTTAATTTTGGCTTTGACTGCCTGTGTCTCAGGGGTCTTTTCCAAGAAATCTTTGCCTGTGCCAATATTTTGAAGGGTTTCTCCAATGTTCTCTAATAATTTGATGGTGTCCGGCCATAGATTTAGATCTTTAATCCATGTTGAGTGCATTTTTGTTTAAGGTGTAAGGTAGGGGTCTTGCTTCATGATTCTGCATATGGAAATCCAGTTTTCCCAGCACCATTTATTGAAGAAACTCTCCTTGCTCCAGGAATTGGTTTTAGATCCTTGATCAAATATAAGTTGGCTGTCGATATTTGGGTTGATTTCTGGTGTTTCCATTCTGTTCCATTGGTCTATCCATCTGTTTCTGTACCAGTACCATGCTGTTTTGATTACAACTGTCCTGTAGTATGTCCTGAATTCTGGTATTGTGTTGTCCCCAGCTTTTTGTTGTTGTTGTTGTACAAGATTGCTTTAGCTATTCAAGGTCTCATGTGCCTCCATATGAATTTCAGCATCATTTTTTCCAGATCTGAGAAGAATGTCTTTGGTATTTTGATTGGTATCTCACTGAATCTATAAATTACTCTAGGGAGACATTTTGATGACATTAATTCTTCCAATCCATGAGCATGGAAGATTTGGTATCCTCTTCTATTTCTTTCTTTAAGGTTTTGTAATTCTTATCGTAGAGATCTTTAACATCCTTGGTTAAGTTTATTCCAAGGTATTTGATTGTTTTTCTGGCTACTGAGAGTGGGACTGATCTTAACAGTTCTTTCTCAGCCATGGCATTGCCTGTGTATACAAAGGCTGTTGATTTTTGTGCACTGATTTTATATCCTGCCACTTTGCCAAACTCTTCTATGAGTTCCAATAGTCTCTTAGAGAGTTCTTTGGATCCCCTAAATAAAGAATCACATCATCTGCAAAGAGGGATAGTTTGACTTCCTCCCCAATTTGTATCCCTTTATTCTCTTTTATTTTCCCCCTTTCAACAGGATGCTGGCTGTGGGTTTCTCATAAATTGCTTTGATTGTATTGAGGAATGTTCCTTCCATACCCAGGTTGCTTAGAGTTTTCATCATGAAAGGGTGTTGTATTTTATCAAATGCTTTCTCTGCATCTATTGAGATAATCATATGGTTTTTCTTTTGCAGTTTGTTAATGTGGTGTATCACTTTGATTGATTTGCAAATGTTGAACCATCCCTGAATACCAGGGATAAATCCCACTTGGCTTGGGTGGATGATCTTTCTGATGTGTTGTTGCATTCTATTGGTGAGAATTTTATTGAGGATTTTTGCATCTATGTACATCAGGGAATTGGTCTGTAATTTTCTTTCAATGCTGCATCTTTTTCCAGCTTAGGAATTAAGGCCATGCTAGCTTCATAGGTAGAATTTGGGAGGATTCCCTCTTTCAATTGTTCTGAATAGTTTGAGAAGAATTGGAGTAGTTCTTCTTTAAATGTCTGGTAGAATTCAGCAGTGAATCCATCTGGTCTTGGGCTTTTCTTTGTTGGGAGGGCCTTTATTACTGATTCAATTTCTGACTCAGTCATGGGTCTATTTAGGTTTTCTATGTCTTCATGGTTCAATTTAGGTAGGTTGTATGTGTCCAGGAATCTATCCATTTCTGATAGGTTTCCCTGTTTGCTGGTATACAAGTCCTTGTAGTAATTTCTGATGATTCTTTTTATTTCTGTGGTATCTGCTGTTACGTTTCCTTTTTCATCTCTGATTTTATTGATTTGGATCTTTTTTCTTCTTTTTTTAGTTAGTTGAGCCAAAGGGGTGTCAATTTTGTTTATTTTTTTCAAAAATGCAGCTCTTCATTTGGCTGATCTTTTGTAATTTTTTTTATTCAATCCTGTTGATTTCTTCTCTGATTTTAATTATTTCTCTTCTCCTGTTAGATTTGGGTCTGAGTTGCTGCAGTTTTTCTAGATCCTTGAGATGCATTGAAAGCTCATTTGTTTTGTGCCTTTCCAATTTCTTGATGTAGGCACCAATTGCTATAAACTTTCCTCGTAACACTGCTTTTGCCATATCCCGTAAGTTTTGATATGATTGTGTTGTTATCCTCATTTACTTCTAGAAAGTTTCTGATTTCTCTTTTGATTTCTTCTATGACTCAGTGTTCATTCAGGAGTATGTTGTTCAGTCTCCATGTGTTTGCATACTCTCTAGGGATTCCTGAGTTGCTAATTTCCAGCTTCATTCCACTGTGGTCTGAGATGGTGCATGGTTTGATTCTAATTCTTTTGAATTTGCTGAGAATTGCTTTATGGCCTAGTATGTGGTCAATCCTAGAGTAGATTCCATGCACTGCTGAGAAGAATGTAAATTCTTTAAATGTAGGATTGAAAGTTCTGTAGATACCTGTTAGATCTATTTGGGCTATAGTGTCGAGTTTCTTTGTTGATCTTCTGTCTGGTTGATCTGCCTATTTCTGAGAGTATTGAAGTCCCCCAGTACTACTGTATTGGAGTCTTAAGTCTCCCTTTAAGTCCTTTAACATATCTTTTAAATAATCCAGTGCCCTGTAATTAGGTGCATATACATTTATAATAGTTACATCTTCCTTTTGAATTAATCCCTTAATCATTATATAGTGCCCCTCTTTGTCTCTCTTCACTGTTTTTGTGTTAAAGTTATTTTGTCTGATATTAATATGGCTACACCAGCTTTTTTTTGGTTTCTGTTGGCATGGAATATCTTTTTCCAACCTTTCACTTTCAGTCTGCATGCATCTTTGTTGGAAAGATGTGTTTCTTGTAAGAAGCAAATAGATGGGTTTTATTCCTTAATCCATTCAGCCAGTCTGTGTCTTTTAACTGGAGAGTTGAGGCCATTAACGTTCAATGTGACTATTGATAAGTAGTAACTTTGCCCTGCCATTTTCCCAAAGATATTTTCTAATATATGCTTTGAACTTCCTGTGATCTTTTACTGGGAGGTTTTCTTCCTTTACCATCTTTCATATTGATGGCCATGTTTCTGTTTCTGTGTATAACACATCTTTAAGCATCTTTTGCAGGACTGGATGAGTGGTGACAAATTCTTTCAATTTTTGTTTGCTATGAAAGGTCTTTATTTCACCTTCATTCACAAATGAGAGCTTTGCAGGATATAATATTCTGGGCTGGCAGTTTTTCTCTCCTAGTACCTGGGCTATATCTTGCCAATCCCTCCTAGCCTTCTGATGTGAAGTCAGCTGTGTGTCTAATTAGAGATCCTGTGAGAGTAATCTGATGTTTCTCTCTTGCACATTTTAGAATCTTTTCTTTTTGTTTCACTGTGGTGAGTTTGATTACAATGTGTCGTGGCGAGGATCTCTTTTGGTCATGTTTATTAGGGGTTCTATGAGCTTCCTGTACTAGGATGTCTCTGCCTTCTCCAAACGTGGGAAGTTTTCTGCTAGTATCTCACTAAAAAGGCCTTCTAATCCTTTCTCTCTTTCCATGCCTTCAGAAACTCCTAGAACCCGAATGTTCATTTTTTTTAATAGAAATCTTAAAAATATTGTCACGAATCTACAGGATACTAATTTCCTCTTCTTTTCTTTGGTTTGACTGTATACTTTCCTGTGCTCTGTCTTCTAAGTCCAATATTCTCTCTTCTGCTTCACTGATTTGGTTTTAATTGTAATCCTGGCAGAGGATAGAAATCCAATTCAAATTCCATATGCTGCATTCAGGGCTTGTCCACAGTCTGGCTTTCTGGTTTGACGTCACTTTCATTGGCTCCATAATGACCGTGTGGTTGTCCATGAGCCCAACAGAACCCCTGATGCACTGGTACCAGGCCTGGTGCTTGTTCCAGTTGCCATTGTTTGCCAAGGCTGAGGATAACCTCTCAGGGACCTCTCTGCTGACTGCCCAAAAAAGACAAAGCTGCAACATCAGTATTGTGGCCCAGGTGGACCAGACAGGCTCCAAATACAGTAACCTCCTGGACCTAAAAACCCTTTTTTCAATTACATGGGCATGACACCCTCGCCCGTACCCAGCCCACACTATAGGTCACCTTCTAAGAACATGTGGAACAGCACTTACAACCTCAGCAGGGGGATGGCCATGGCAGGGATGCTAACCGCTCTGCCCCAGGGTCTCACCCTTTATTTTCCTGAGCACTAGCAGTTCATTGTCACTCCCATCACTCCAACTGTCTCCCTCAATGCCACCTGCCGCTTGGATCTTCCCTTCCCCACTGTCCCCTGAGTCCCCCATTAGCTTCCTCTCCTCCTGGGCTCACCTTTTCTCTCTGTTGCTCCTGGCTTGCTGTTTCCAATCCTTGTACCAACTGTTGAGGAACAGTTTTATGCTTGTGTGTGTGTGTATGTGTGTGTGCAAATTGTTGAACTCTTTACTTGGTACAGAGTTGGTCTGCTGCGTATAAAGTTAATTGAAAATGGGTCTTAGTGGAGAATGGGACTGGGAATGGATAAGGGAGGAAGAAGAGGGGTGGGAGTGTGAGCGGGAGTGCAAGTATAATGGGAAGAATCACTATATTCCTAACAATGTATTTCTGAAGTGCATTAACTTGTAATCCATAAATAAAAGTGTCTAAGCATCCCACATGGGTACCAGTTTGAGTCCCATCTGCCCACTTCTGATTCAGCTCCCTGCTAATGTGTCTGGGATAGCAGTGGAGAATAGGCCAAGTCCTTGGGCCCCTGCACACATGTGAGAGACCTGGAAGAGGCTCCTGGCTCCAATGGCTCAGCGTTGGCTGTTGCAGTCATTTGGGGACTGAACCAGCAGAAACAAGACCTCTCTAACTCGAACTCTGTCTTTCAAATAAATTAAAAAAAATCTTAAAAAACACAATTCTTCATTTTCTCAATAAATTATTTCATTTCTCCTGAAAAAAAAATTATTTTCAGCAAACCATCCCTCTGGCATAACATTTAATAAAGCCTCCAGTGGGTCAATAGTACATGGGAGCCTGAACAGACTAGACCAGAGAGACAGTCATTTCCCTATGCAATCAGCACTTTACACCACAGCTTTGTGGAGGAAAAAAACATTCATTTTCTATCACACCCGTGAAGCAGGTGTCTAAAGGATAATAATTGTTCTGGATAGCTTCTTGTAGTATCCAGTAACTTATTTGTTCAGATTTTTATGTCATGTTCTATTGTGTTACTAATTACCATTCCAAATTTATTAGAATTCATATTCCATTTTATAGTTTTAATTTTAAAAATTCCATTTCATATATTTATTAAAAATCTGTATAAATTCTCTGGTAAAATTATATTAGGTAACTATCAAGTCAGAGGTGGAATGCACTTTTTTTTGCCTAATGATCCCTTAATCCCAAATCTCACTAACTATAGGTTTTAACTTACAACAGAAAATGAAGAATGTACAGGAGAAGGGCTGGCATTGTGACATAGCATAAAGCCTCTGCCTGTGACACCAGCATCCTATATAGACACCAGTTTGAGTCTCAGTTGCTCCAGTTTCTATCCAGTTCCCCACTAACACAGCTGGGAAAGGACACCCAAGTTTATGGGCCCCTGCATCCATATAGGGGACCCAGAAGAAGCTCCTGGCTCCTGATTTTGGACCATCTCTGATCTGGACATAGTGGCCATTTGGGAAGTGAACCAGAGGATGCAAGAACTGTCTCCCTAACCTCTCTCTCTGTAACTCTGACTTTCAAATAATCTTTAAAAAAATAGGCACAGGAGAATAATATTTTCTGTATTCTAGTTGCCCTTCTTTCCTTACCAATTAAATCTGTATGTAGAAACGGAGTTATGGTAACTGTTTTTTAAGTTAACCTATGGAATAAAGAATAGGTATGGTTCCCTCAACACTATATCAAACCAACATTCGACATTCATAACTCACTCAATCACACCTCAAAAACCATCATACATACTAGGGACCAAAATGTCTAACAATTTCCAGCTTAAATTCATTAAGTGTCCATAGAAAGCATAGATACCCAACTTGCTTATGCCCCTCACACACCAACTTTAGAAAACAGAAAAATATTCCTATAGATATAAACTTACTTAGTGCTTATGGCATTGACTGCACTTGACAAGGCACAGAATAGATACCTGTGAATGGTGGATAGGAGAGTAGACAACTGACAGATGAGATCAGGCAAGCAGTGAAGGAGGAGAAAAAGGCAGACGACAGCAAGAAATAAAACAAAAGGAACCTCAGAATCAAAGCAGCACATATAATCTATAGACCTCAACTACAGGACTGCAACATTGAGCTGAAATCAGATTCAGCTGGAAAAGAAACAGAGGCCCTCTGATTCACCCAGCCCTTTCCTGATGTTGAATCCTGAGACAGATTCTGTGTTCCAAGAGGGTAAGACTGTAAGACAAAGACCTGGAGAAGGCAAAGCAGTGCAGGTTCACTGAGCAGCCAGCAGGTTTGCTTGTCTGCAGGCAGCAGTTGAAGGGGAGTGAGGCTGCATGGGTAGGCCTTGTGCAAGCCAGAGCCTGTGCAGGACTTACACACTGAGGGAGGCTGCTCCCCCTTCCCCACCTCTCTTACAAACTGACACCCACCTGTAACCTCCCAGCCACATCACTTTCTTAGGCTTTCTTCTCCAAACCTCCTTTCTCTCACTGAGAAAGTGACAAAAATGCTCACAAATATTAAAAGTGAAGAAACATGTAATGTGTACTTATAAAATAATCATTCCTCAAAAAACAAACCCTAGTGACTAATAATATTCTTTGCAAGTGTCTGCTCAATTCATATCCTGCCAGGTTTTGTATGCAGTTTCAGCATCTTTCTGTGTAAAAAAGTCGGTGATGATCATTTTGGACAATGAAATTTATTGAGGCAATAAATCAGGTTCAGGAAGCAGTTGGGACCAGTTGTCTCCTATGAAACAAGCAAAGTGACAGGGGCTTTGTGTCCATTCTGTACACAGATCTTAACATTATTCATCTGAAATAATTCCACTATCTTCATGTTTATATCAAAAATTGCCTGAATTCCCTTAAATGTCAAAGCTAGGATACAACACACCTAGAATAACAGTGGTTATAGAAGCTACTGCTACAATCCTCCTGCTGAGCCTTCAGGAGTTTTTTTTTTTATTCACAAAAGCAGAAAGAAAAGCACTACAAGCAACTGTTCTACTGCAGATACAACTTATAACCAAATCCTTAAATGCACTTAAAACTAAGCCAGTACTTAGCTCATAAATCTCTCATTAGGAAACATCATTAAAACTTTGAAGTACTTCACAGTGATCCAAGTCATATTCAAAAGAAACAATGAGAAAGGATGTTTCAGAACAAGATAAAATTAGTTAAAACTAGTGCTCTCAGTCCCTAATTATTCTGCAAAATTCTACTCATACATAGAACTCAGGAAGCCATTCTACAGGAGGAAAGGATAGCATCTCTATAAATCTCTTTCCAGTTATCCACATTCTATACAACAAGGATGACTGTTCATTCATTTATTGGACGTTAACTAGACTTGTTCACTCATTCAGGGGCTATTTCTAATGCTCCTGGCCTTAAAAAATGTCAGTGCAACAATTCAGCAAGCCCCTGGAGAAAATGTGAATGCCTAGAATGAAGCATTCTCTGCTGACATGAAAACCTAGAAATCTTTAGTAAAGACAAATAGAATCCCATAATGACAGTTGTAAAATCTGTACATTTTATTGATGAGCTAGTGCTCTGAATGTTCACTGACATCCTTGCTTTTATTTGATTGACTTCAGAAATAGATTTGCCTGTTAAAGTCATAGCCATATCCATGGGCAACTTACCAGCTGAATCCCATATGCAAGTTGGCTTACTTGCCCAAGTGTTGGGTTGCTGAGAAAAGTAGGATGAACAGCTGTACTTCCTGCCTTGTGTAAGGTTACAGATGGTTAGGACACGTACCAACACAGAGGCATTTAATAGACCTCTAATACATATTAGCTAAAATCCTAATTAAGCTGTCAAAAGCAGGTAACAAATTGAGCCAAAAACAAATTACAAGTGACTGGGGAGGGGAACTAAACACAGCCCTAAGAAAAAATGGCTGACAGCAAAGAAACAGTCATGAAATTGTAGACATCAAACTGAAACAGCACACCGAGTTCTGCAGGCTACACATGCCACAAGATGGACAAATGATGTGCATGAAGATCACTGAGACGTTAAAAATACATCAAATTTTATACCATGTTTTCAACATAAGACCAATAAGCACATAATGGATCTGGAAAGGCTCCTATCAAAAGTCCTGTAACAGGGGCCAGCTAAGCACATGGTGCAGCGTGTTAAGACTCTGCCTATGAGGCCTGCATCCTATACAGGTTCAGGTGTGCCACTTGCAATCCAGTGCCCTGCTGAGGTGCCTGGGAAAGCAGCAGAGGATGGCTCAAGTGCCAGCACCCCTGTACCCAAATAGGAGAGACACAGAAGCAGCTCCTGGCCTCTGCTGGTCCTAGCCCTGGCCATTGCAGACTTTCAGAGTGCAAACCAGCAGATGGAAGTGCTCTCCCTCTCTTTTTCTCCTTCTGTTTTTCTTTCTTTCTCTAACTCTCCCTTTCAAATGAATAAATAAATCTTTTTGACAAGTGATTTAGCTGAGCTAGTGTCATCGAATATAAGTTTAAACCTCTACCTGTGATTCTTCAAAGAAGGAGGTACCTTTCTCTGAAGGGAGGAGAGAACTTCCACTTTGACTATGACCTTGTCTAAATAAGATAAGAGTCGGAGAACTCAAAAGGCTTCCATAGCCTTGGAAACTCATGACTGGAGCATAGGGAGAATACTGATGCCATAAACAGGAGTGTCAATTTGTAAAGTCAACAACAGGAGTCACTGTGCACTTACTCCTCATGTAGGATCTCTGTCCTTAATGTGCTGTACATTGAGATTCAATGCTATAACGAGTACTCAAACAGTATTTTTCACTTTGTGTTTCTATGTGGGTGCAAACTGTTGAAATCTTTACTTAATGTATACTAAACTGATCTTCTGTATATATAGAAAATTGAAAATGAATTGTGATATGAATGGAAGGGGAGAGAGAGCGGGAAAGGGGAGGGTTGCGGGTGGGAGGGAAGTCATCGGGGGGTGGGGGGAAGCCAATGTAGTCCATAAACTGTACTTTGAAAATCTATATTCATTAAATAAAAGTAAAAAAAAAAACAATAAATATCTTTAAATGAAAAAAAAAAAACCTCTACCTGTGATGCTGGCATCCCAAAAGGGCTCTGGTTCAAGACCTGGCTGCTCCATTTCTGATCCAACTCCCTACTGATACACATGGGAAAGCAGCAGAAGATGGCTCAAATCCTTGAGCTCCAGCACCCATGTGGGAGACCCCAAAGAAGGTCAAGGCTCCTAGCTTCAGCCTGGCTGAGCCCCAGCTTTGTGGCCATTTGGGGAGAAAACCAGTGGATCAAAGATCTGTGTGTGTGTGTGTGTTTGTGTCTTCCTCACTTTAACTCTGCTTTCCAATAAATAAAAATAAGTTTTTTTTTTTAAAGGCATTTAGTATCACAGGCTTAACATACTACGTGACTAAACTTTAATGCCAGCCCTATAAATCGCCTTATGCTAAGGTGAATGTGTTAAGGAACCAGTCAAATTTCAGAAGCAATGTTTACCATTCAACACTGGAAAATACATATTTAGACAATTTACTGTAAACCATTTAAATGCAGGGACCTAAGACTTCATCAGTTTCTTAAAAGCTAGAACAAGATAAATCTTTGGTCTAGATCTCATAGTAAACTTTTTTGATCACTATCAATGGGACACAAATATGTGCCATTAAAATCCCTCTACATTTCAATCTTTTCCTGTATTTGAAACGTATTTAAAAGCAAAACAAACATCTGTTCCCCCTGCAGAGCAGACAGCCCATTATTGGATGGTTTAAAAAGAAAACGTGCTTATGAATAAAATGATGACTTATTTCAAAACAATTTGGGAATAATCTGTTAAAATTCATGCAAAATGAAGGCCAAAAGCATTTCCCTAAGTAAAAGTCTAGGGATTCCCTAGTCTCTGGTAATTTCCAAGAGAATTGTAAAATAGCAGGGAATGTCAAGAATCAAGTGTGGCAGCAGAGGACGATCAAAGAGCCAATGGTTGGGGCCTGAGTCCATTCACAGTGGCCGCCACAGCTAGAACGTCCATGAGAGCTGCCTGGAGAAAATCTGCTTCTGGCCAGCAGTCACCCTTCATGCAATCAGAGGAAGGCTGAAAGTCCAACCATTAGAGTAAGTCTTGAAGAAGAACAAAATCATGGAAAACCTTTTAAATCAAGTCTTTTTATTCTGTAACTTCTTTTTTAAATGAGTTACTCATTTTCTTAAAAGGCAGTGTCGCTCCCCCTCTTCGTGGAGGAGCAACACTAAACCCTGCCTAGGCTTCATATCCGAGTCACGGCACCATTATGTCGCTCCCCCTCTTCGTGGAGGAACGACACAGGACCCTGCGCTGTTCTTTCGTCTGCTCGGCCCTCCCCGGGTTTGCTGCTGGTTCTTCCCGGGTTGGCTACTATCCCTTCCACCTCCGTGGAAGGGCAGTTCCCCCTGGCCGCTTTCCCCACTTCCGCAGGGGAGCGGCACACCGCCGGCCGGCTCTCTGGGGGGCTGCACGGGTTCCCTTAGATGTTCCCCATAGATGTTCCCGGTGCATGCCGTCTCTCTCCTCCTTTATAGTCCTCCTCTGCCAATCCCAACTCGGCTGCCCACACGCCGAGTACGCTGCTCTCCTCCAATCAGGAGCAGGTCCTGCTGTTTATTGGTTGAACTGGAGGCAGCTGGGTAGAAGCTGTTTTCTCCTCTCCCAGCGCCATATTGTAGGAGAGCAGATGCATAGAATAAGTCTTAATTCCAGTAACAGTCTAGTCCGAGCTGCTCCCCACAGGCAGAGTTACAGAGAGAAAAGGAGAGACAGAGATCTTCCATCAGCTGATTTACTCCTCTAGTGACCAGGGATGTGCCAGGCCAAGCTAGCTTACATGAGCTTCATCAACATCTCCCACGTGGGTGGCAGGGACCCAAGTACTTGGGGCATCATCCCCTGCTTTCCCAAGTGCATTAGCAGGAAGCTGGATCTGAAATGAGGGGGCTGGGACTAGAACAGGTTCCCCTGTGAGGTGATGGAGTCAGAGGTGGTTGATTTTCCCACTGTGCTACTATGATAGCCCCTATATTAACTGGTCTTTAAAAACTTTTTCCTGGAGCTGGCACTGTGGCAAATCAGGTTAACCCAGCACTTTTAACACGGGCATCCATGTTGGAACACCAGTTTGAGTCTTGGCTGGGCAGCTCCACTTAAGATCCTGCTCCCTGCTAATGTACCTCAGAAGGCAGGACAGGATGGGACCAATACCTGCGTCTCTGCAACCCATGTGGGAGACCCAGGTGGAATTCTGGGTGTCCAAGCACACACGGGGAATGAACAAGTGGATGAACAATCTCTTTCTCTTTCCCTCTATGTCACTCTGACTTCCAAATAGGTAAAACAAATATTTTTAAAACAGAATTTCCTTCCACACACTGTTTTAGAGCATTAAACATCAGGAGCAAAGAAAGGTACTCAGCAGTCAGGAGATTCTGCCGCATTCTGTGTCTGCCTCCGAGTGAGTCCCAGGACGCTCTCTGAGAGTTTTTTCACCTCTTCCCCAACATTTCCTCACCACTCGCCAGACTATGTTAAGCCTACAGAATCTATTTTCTAAATCATGTTGAGTGAACAAGACAAAGATGTGGATGATAACACCCCCAAAACACTACTTATGGGGCCTGGGTTGTGGTGTGGTGTGCTAAGCAGCCTACTGGCATGCCTATACTCCATACTGGAGTTCCAATCCAAGTTCTGGCTGCTCTGCTTCAAATCCACGTTCCTGCTAATTTATCTGGGAAGCAGGACATGGTGGCTCAAGTGCTTGGGCTCCCACCTCACATGTGGGAGCCCCAGATCAAGTTCTCTTCTCCTGGATTTAGTCTGGCCCAGCATCAGCAATGGAGGGCATTTGGTGATGTGACTATATCCATAAACAAGTGTGTACTCACACACACACACACACACGCTTGATAAATGAATGTTACCTATAAACTCACAGTCCTACATGATTACAAACAGCAATTATTAATGCTAATGATTGATACTCATAGTGAAGTGTTCAATTTTCAGAAAAAAATTATGAAAGCTAGATAAGCAGAAAATACAGATTTCTCACTGACATTAAACTCAAAAATTCATTCAACAACTTTCCATTCCACCATCAGAAGTGGTCTATTTGTTGCTTGGGTTTTCACAATTTATTCTGTGGTCATGAGACTACAAGCACTCCTTTAACTGAATCTATAAAATCAAAGAAGGGAATAAAAGAATAAAAAAAACAGCATTTAAAATGACACAAGAGGCCATGTTTATGAGAGTCTACAATGCATATTAATAGATAACTCAGAGAAAATAAAATATGGTCATAAAAGTGGTTAATACAGCATTATCAAGAAACAGATGTCCTCATGGAGAAATTTTGTCCAATTAAAGATTTAATCATAACCTACTAATAGATTTTAAAATTTTGAATTGCATTTGAAACTTTAAGATTTCATTTATTTGAGAGGTAGAGTTACAGACAGAGGAAGAGACAGAGATCTTCTGCTTACTGGTTCACTCCCCAGATGGCAGCACGTAGGCCAGAGCTGGGCCAATCTAAGCCAGGAGCTTCTTCTGGGTCTCCCACATGAATGCAGGGGCCCATCCTCTGCTACTTTCCCAGGCCATAAGCAGAGAGCTGGATAGGAAGAGGAGCAGCCAGGTAATTGAACGGTGCTCATATTCAATGCCAGTGCTGCAGGCAGAGGCTTAGCCTACTCCACAGCCACAACTCTGCATTTGAAACTTTCAGTCATTCACATAATTATCACAAACATATCAGCATTAAGAGAAACCAGTAAGTAAACATGAAACTAAGTGACACTCTCCATGTGGACTCTAATCCTAAGGCCTAGGGACTGCTAATCCTGTTAAAGAAGATAAAGCCATCATACTAACTTTTACCAAAACAAACTCACCTTGTCACTGTGCTCTGGGCAGCCCTGGCTGTGAGTCTGTAACAAATGCCAAGCCACAGAGGTCTCTCTGTGGGACTAGGTCTGGGTAAAGCCTCCTCCTCTTCACTATTTTCCAGCTATAGCCTGTTTTGCTTGGTCCATGAAACCAAAGGAAACTTTCCCTAATAGCTCTATGATGTCCACCTTTTTGAATAGCATGCATCAGATTGGCTTGCATCAGCTACCAGGAGTGACCATTTAGCTTCACTAAGGAGTTGCACCAGATGGCTGCCAGACAGAAAACGCGCGTTCCAGGTACACAGAAACACCCACATATGTACCGACACCAGAACACTGAGAGACAGCCTTGGAAAGCCCCAGAATGGACTCCTTGTGCCCCCAACACCCACCTTTGTGATTGGACCAGAAACAAGCTTGTTCTTCCTAATACTGGGCAGACAAGGGAAGAAAGAGAAGAATGGGGGTCTAACTACCAAGGCAAACAAGGAGGTGATCTGCCTGCCATGACCCAGAACAGGAGCACAGGTCTGTTAGGACAGGCACAAGTAAAGGATTCCTTCCAGACCATCTAAGAGAACCGATACCAGCAAGGGCATCCCAAGAATTTCACCAAGGAGGCACAGTTTTCCCTATGAAGAGGACATTGGCATATCACTTACTTCGAAAGCCAGAAGACCAAAGGAAGCTGGGGTCAGCGAGCTTACCTGGGGACAACTTCCCAGAGCCGAACACAGCTGTGGGCGCCCCGTGCCAGGCACCCCCACATCGTCGTGGTCCACTGAGGTCAATGGTCAGCCGGTTTGGCAGCTTCGGCCCAGGTCACGCAGCCCACCTCCTCCATGCAGCTCCTGCAGAGACGTGGCCGCTTCGTGTTCCTTGGTCTGGGCCGCCGCGGAAGCCATGACTGTTTAGGGTCCGGACTCAGTTACAAATCCACAGGCCTCTTGCTCCTGGGGCTCACGCTGGGACCTGAGACCGGAAGCCACTGGGCCAGCTGCGCAGCCAGGGGCATGGTCTTGACATAACAGGGGATAATGGGTGGGCAGCCTTGAAACAGCGCGGAGATTCAGTGCAGGGAGGCAACAGCCTGGGCTCCAGCCACTCAGGTCCCCTCCCGGGACATTCACCGCCCCTCCTGACAGGTAGCCCAGACCCTTCATAGTTCTGCCTGACCCCAGAAAAAAACCCAGCAGGTCCAAGTGTCACAGGGCTGCAGGAAGTTCCACAGCAGATCCTCTTGCTCAGTGCCAAACCCCACCTGGCCCTGGGTCCCTTCCGCAACCCCACCACCGGTTTCGAATTCTTGCGGACCACCCCAACTGCTCCCTAGCCTGGCATTCACAACCATCCCCACAATCCTTTCCTGATAGGCCTGTCTCCTGCCCTGAGGGGCTGAAGTCCTGAGTCTTTGGGACCAGGGAGTGAACTCAGTCCAGCTCCGCGGAATGCAGCGCCTGGGAATCCAACACATCCTCCCTGGAGTCACTGCCCGTCCCCATGGCCGCGCCTGCCCAGAGCCTTCTTGCCCCCCCCTCCCCTCCGCCGCCTCCGCCTCCGCCTCCCTGGGCCCCACAGTGGCTGCCTTCCTGAGTGGCACCACCTGTGCTGCTCACCGCCTTCCTGTCCTGCTTCCCGGGGCTGTGATCCTGCTGCCTAGGCTGGGAAAATCAGGCTGTCCCTGTCCTCCATGGTTCCCTGCCCAGTCCAGGGGACTCACCTGGCAAAGCAGGCAGTGGTGGGAGCCAGAAGGAGAGGCTGAAGCACACCCCGCTGGTACCTGGGCTGCTTTGAAGAATGCACTGCGCCTCCCTGACTGCAGTGGCTGCAGCTGTGGCTGAGGCCGGCCCGCAGGGAGGAACAGGCTCAGTGCAGGTGCACAGGGGACTTCAGAGCTCCCGGGCCTGCCGGGACAAAAGTTACACAACATAAACCATATTACCCGGGAAGAACCTGACGCCTAATTCCCCTTCAGAGATCCGACCCCGTGTCTGCCTGGTGGCTGCTGCGGGGTTAAGATTTACTGAAAGAATGGGTAGTCTGTCTAAATGATCGACCCTCTCCTTGAACACCCTGTGTGGCATGCAGCACACGTTTAGGAACACTAGCACAGGTGTTGCTGTTTTGGCCTTTCACTGGGACCGCGCTTCTCCAGCTGATGCCATATCTGCCATGTCCAAAGTTGCTTCAACAAACTTTTTCCGTGACAGAAAAAGAAGCTGGTAAGATGAAAATCCTGAGATAGGAATTGATAAAATCGCTAATATCCAACATTCTGTTTACTACATAATTTTAGCAGCATTTGTATTCAAAAGGGCGCACATACTACAACTCCCTGGAGGTCTAACTTACATGTATTTCCTTTATAAGAAAGACACAAAAGTAGTGTTCTTGGTGCAGCACAGGAAGCCAGGTGTTAGCATTAAACCACTGACAACCAACCAGGTTTTTCACCCCCTTGCAATGGAAATTGACCAGAGGCCAGGATGCAACCCAGAATGGGGTTATTGGGGGCCCGGGTTCCAGGGCCAGTACCCTACAGAGGTCCCACTGGTTGTCTCAATGAGGTTAGTTGGGCATGGGTCGTTATCAGGTGAGGAGTTGGGGGAGGGGAGCCCTCTGTATAGGATACCTCAATTGTCATCCAGCCCCCCGATTCTGCACAGAAACTAGTTTTGCACAGGTCCCATTCAAGAGTACAATGTTGTCACTACCACCTCCCAATATCACTTGCATGGGGCTACTCTGGGCATGGCCTGAGGGGCAGTGGGTCTTTGCTGTTGAGGTGTGGATTGTTCCTTGCTCCTGATTGGCCTGATGCTGGGTTAGGGACCTGCAGTCAGAGATGCTGAGGCTGTGAGGCCAGCTTTATGCTGTCTCCTGACTTTCCCAAGCAAACCCTTCCAGGCACACTTCCTCCTGGAGGGGGATTTCCTAACACCCTGGCCTCAATATTAGCATAAGAACCTCCTCCTGGGGAATCAGGTCACATTTCACTTATTACATTGACTGGCCTATTTTTGTTTGTTTATTTGGTTTCACCTATTCCTTTTTATATTGATTAATTAATTTTTAAGGAATATAAATTTTGTAAGTACAACTTTAGTAATACAGTTATTCTTCCCACCACACCTGCCCTCCCACCCACATTCCCACCCCACCTCCTCCTCCCTCTCCACTTCCCAGTCCCATTTTCCATTAAGATCCATTTTCAATTAACTTTGTACAAAGAAGACCAACTCTATACTAAGTAAAGATTTCAATAATTTGCACACACATACACAGACACAAAAAAACTGAGAACATGTTTTACAGTTAACTCTCATAATACAACTCATTGAGGATAGAAGTCCTGCATGGGAAGGAAGTACATAGTGACTCCTGTCATTAATTTAACACTTAACACTCTTTTTTTTTGTTTGTTTAAATTTTTGACAGGCAGAGTGGACAGTGAGAGAGAGAGAAACGTCTTCCTTTACCGTTGGTTCACCCTCCAATGGCCGCTTCGGCTGGCGCACCACTCTGATCCAAAGCCAGGAGCCAGGTGCTTCTCCTGGTCTCCCATGCGTGTGCAGGGCCCAAGGACTTGGGCCATCCTCCACTGCACTCCCGGGCCACAGCAGAGAGCTGGACTGGAAGAGGGGCAACCGGGACAGAATCTGGTGCCCCAACCAGGACTAGAACCCAGTGTGCTGGTGCCAAAAGGTGGAGGATTAGCCTATTGAGCCATGGCACTGGCCACAATTAACACTCTTATGTATGATGTCAGGGACCACGCGAGGCTCTTGATAGGAACTGCCTAGGCTATGGAAGCCTTTTGAATCCAAAAACTACATCAGTCTTTAGACAAGGACATAAGCAATGTAGCTCTTCTCTCCTTTCTTTAGAGAAAAGTACATCCTGTGTTCATGAGTGGCCTATATTTTTAAGACTAGTTTTTAAACATCATTGATTTTGTTCAAATGTCCAAGGAGAAATTTAAGATTAAAAGGGCATTATTCTGAGTGACACTGTGGTGTAGTGGTTTAAGCCTCTATCTATAGTGCTGGCATCCCATATGGACAATAGTAAAAGTCCAGGCTGCTCCACTTTTGATCCAGCTCCCTGCTAATGTACCTGAGAAAGCAGTGGAAGATGGCCCGTGGTTGGGCCCCTGCACCCACATGGGAGTCCTGGAAGAAGATCCTGGCTCCAGATTGGCCCAGCTCTGGCCAGTGAAGATATTTGGGGAGTGGACCAGTGGATGGAAAACCTTTCTCTCTCTCTGCCTAACTCTTCCTCTCAAATAAATGAATATTTTTTTTAAAAAGCAGGGGTCATTACTCAATCAATTATATGGGTGTGCAAGTTAGAGTTTCATTGTTAGGGGCTGGCACTGTAGCATAATGGAAAGCTACTGCTCTCAATGCCTGATTCCCATTTGGATGCTGGATTCAGTCCCAGTTCTGTTCCAGATCCATTATGGAGGCCTGGGAAAGGCAGTGGAAGATGGACTAAGTACTTGGGGCTCTGCCACCCATGTGGGAGACCAGCAAGAAGCTCCTGGCTCTGGACTGGCCCAGTTCTAGTAGTTCAGGCCATCTAGGAAAGTGAACCAGCAGACAGAAGATCTCTCTCTCTCTCTCTTTCTCTCTCTCTCTCTCTCTGTTACTCCCATTTTCAGTGTAACTCCAGTTTTCAAATACACAAAGCTTTAAAAATGAACTTCATGGTTAACTACTTTGAAATGGTGGAAGAGATGGTCAGCTTGTTCATATTCTGAAAGTAAACCCAGAGCAGGAGAAATACTACACAATATGTGATGCAATTTAAATGTGGCAAACCACTGTGCAGATTCATTATGAACATTTTAAACCTGCCTCCTTAACCATACTTATTAGAAAAACAAAGCTGGCCCTACAGCTCTTTGAAGTAAAACACATGTAGTAAACATTACTAGCCTTTCTCGTGCTGTTAAAAATAAGTGTAACTTAACTGCAAGTAGCCAGTTGCTCTTAGGTGTTCTTTTTGAATCCAGAGTACGTGCAATGCTTTTTTTAAATTTTTATTTGACAGATAGAGTTAGACAGTGAGAGAGAGAGACAGAGAGAAAGGTCTTCCTTCCATTGGTTCACCACCCTAATGGCCGTTACGGCCTGAGCTATGCTGATACAAAGCCAGAAGCCAGGTGCTTCTCCTGGTCTCCCAGGCAGGTGCAGGGCCCAAACACTTGGGCCATCCTCCACTGCCTTCCCGGGCCACAGCAGAGAGCTGGACTGGAAGAGGAGCAACTGGGACTAGGACCGGGACTAGAACCCGGCGCCCATATGGGATGCCAGCGCTGCAGGCGGAGGATTAACCAAGTGAGCCACAGCGCTGACCCTTTGCAATGCTTTTGTTTCTCTTCTTCACAAGACTGCCCTCTTCACTTTTCTAGAACCCATTCTTCCTCAAGGGCAGTATTTGCCCATAGGCACTGCAATAGCTGCTTCTCTGACTGCTGAGGTCCTCAGAACCTTGATGCTTACACTTTGCTTAAGAAACATCATTGAGTACAAACTCTGTTTTGTCAAAGCACTGCTTGGGATTTACAAATACCAATGCCACCTGAGAAATGGACTAAGCTTCATTCCATTTGATCAAGAAAGAATATCAACAATGTGTTGTAAACTACATCTCCCAAACAAGTGGAGATGCATCCACCCCCTGGTGCCACACACAGCAGAGAAACTGGAGAAGTGTCCAGCTTCCACATGCGAGGATGTAGCCTGGTCTGCTTGCTGTACAAAGCTTCAGTACAAGAAACTCAGAAAGAAAACACAAAATTGCTACAAATTGCTCAGCCGAGGGAATTGGATGTTGTCCTTAGAAGAAAAGTAGGCTGAGACATGTAAACCATGTAGGTCAAAATGTATAGGCTGACTTTTTTAGGTGAAGGGTACCTGCCTCTGCAAAGCACTCTGAAATGCATGAGCCAATAAGATGCTTTAAAAGCTGCATGTGTGGTCCCCAAGTCAGCTTACTGCAGCTAAGGCTTACATAGGGTTCAGGTGACGCTGCTATCTAGTCCATACAAGGAAACAACAGCAGGTGAAGGCAGATCAACTAGGGTAGGGACATCCAATGGGCTACTCAGGGGGATCTGAGCTGTCCCATGACACCCAATGTGCACACAGAGTATGGATACCCAAGGGGACAGATTAAACAGCAGTCACAGCAGGATGAGGATTGTGGGAAACAGCTGGCAGCAGGGGCCTCATGTCTGGGGGATGCAGTGGGAAGGGAATCAGGGATAAAGAGCCTGGAAGGTCACCAAGAAGCATGGATTTGGGACCTTACATCCAGGCTGCCCAAGTTCAGGTCCTGATTCACAAAGTATTCCCCAGCCTGACAGATCTCCTGTCCAGATGCATGCACCCAAGAGCAATGGGAAGCTCTTCCACATCTGCTGCTGAGTGGGGGGCCTGGGACATGGTGTGAGCAAGGGGTAAACTCTGCTGTCTGGACACTGATCATCTGGGGAGGGAGACCCAGGATTGTAACAGAAAGCATTAGACTCCTTCAAATGTGTTGTAGGTATTTTGCACATGCTATTCGAATCTAAGTGATTTTGGTGAAGTTCCCCCAGGGAAGAGAAAAGTCTGTGCACTGGGGACTTCAGCTGGTGTGCACTAGACCTTGGCTGTGCTAACTATGAAGAGTTCAAACCCTGCAGGCTATGCCCTGAGCCCTCCTGCCCATTACCTGCCCTGTGTCCCATCCTTTCAGCTCTGTTCCACTGTCTGAGGAACACATCACAGGCTACCAGGGATTCCCTTCACAAAGAAGAAGCCACAAGATGACACTCGACAACACCATCTGGTCATCCAAACACATTTTTGATGGGGAGAATTTATGACATGGATGGACAGCAGGAGGGCAGATCTGTATGGAGGCCACAGGGCAATGCCATTTCCCTGTCTGCGTGCCTCAGAGTCCATCCTCCTGTTAGTGCATTACCTTTGATTTGTTTCTTACATTGGAGAATAATGGCACAGAGATGTTTCTTCTAAAGTTCTCTGAAGCTGTAACCCTAATCTGAAGAGAGCTCACCTACCCTTCTGCAATGGCTCCACTGTCATAAGTAGTCCTGCTCTGCCCTCTCGTGGTTGTCTGGGGAAATGACAGGAATGCTTCGAGCTCCACAGTTCTGTTGATGAGAAGACATTCAAACTTGCAGACATCTACACAGGCTTACTCTAGGTTCAATTCCAAATCCTCTTAGATTAATTTCTTAGGAGTACCTCCTATAAGACAATCTTTGTTTTGTCATTTTTACGGCTGAGTCAATAATTGTTTTCCCATCTGCAGTATTTCAGTGATATTTCTTAATATTTCCTTAAGTCCTTAATATTTCCTGGTTGCAGAGAGAAAAGAGAGACAAAGTTGCTCTCTTGCTGAACATGCATGTCCAGTGGAAGGAGTGTGTTGAGAATAAGTGGTCTGCATCACAGCTGTGTATGCCTGATTAATGGAAACAGTATGAAACCCAAGCACATCCCTGGGTTACTACTGATTGTGACCCTTGCATTGTTAGACCATCCTGCCTGGACTTTCTGTCTCAAGTGTGAACAGAATCAGCCTCTTTTCTCTGTTCAGAACCTTATCTCAGGTATTTTATTATAGACTCAGGACACGGGAATACACCCTCACAATGGAGAACATTCATTCACCTACAGGCCACATTCACTTGATGCATTTACACCTCACACCCTGTCTGACCTCCTTCTTTAGCATGGGAGCTTCTCCCAGGAATGGACACTGCTGACTCAGCTCCCTGTCCACACGGAAGCATGGAGTCTGGCACATCGTAGACAATCAGTGAAGATGTGAGGAGCACAACACACCTTAAAGAGTTCCTCTTGCAGAGTACTCTGACACCAGTTGGAAATGCATTCACCCCTTCCTGGGACACAGCTGGAATTAAATCCCCAGCATCCTACGTGCTGTATGTGTCACATGACCTGTTCCTGTGCAAGGAGCGCAAATGCAACTGATGTAAAGCAGGAAAACGCTCCCGCCTGCATTGCTCCATGTGCTGTTCTCCTGCAGCTGTGTGCAGACGGGGATGGGGGAGGTGCTCTGTGGAAGAACTCAGGCTCAGGAATGAGCACAGGCAGGACAGCTGCCCCTCAACCTGCACATCTGCCACACTGCTGGGTGGCCCTAGTGTGCTCTTACATGGCCAAAAATCAGGAGGGAGGCAGGTTATTTGCTAAGGGACCAAGACCTGGCTCTTCCATCTGCTTAGGAAGTTGATCATGGGAGTAACAGAAGGAGCATCACTCAGCACAGTGACAATGACAAAGTCTACTTGGCTTTTCCTGTGGGACCCTCCCACTGGGACCCAAACTTTATTCCCAGAGAAATTCAATAGGTTTATAATCTTTGGTTAATAAACAGTGAAACAGGATTCTATCAATATTTTTAGAAATTGTTGAGAGAATTTTTTTGCAGCAAACTGTAACAAGGTTCTTAAACACCTAAATGTTTTTCTTAAAATATGGCTCCGTCAAAAAAGTTGTGAGTCTTTGTACTTTTCTATTTTACTTTTGCTGAAAATGTTTCATTAAGTTCATTTGTGTATTATATGAGGAATGAGAATTCTGGACATATACTAATTTCATGCCTGCAGATTCTTTGAATATATTCTAAAGAAATCATTATTTTTGTATTTTCTATTGTCCTGCTTACACAGTATTTATCAAAATTATTCTTAAAATATTTTCCTCCTAACAACTCCTCGTCAATGATAAATTTTTTAACATGTTCCATTCTACTCTTATCAGCTTATTGGTATAGATTAATTTTAGTCATAAATTCCAACATGGGTTAAAAGTGTCCACTGGTAAAAAACTTGTGGAGCCAAACTCTCTGCCTCTTTCCAGAGATTCCATCTGGACCCACAGTAGGCACAACTGTCTGTATCCAGTACACAAACCTGCACCTGCACCAGGCCATGGAGGGTACAGATAAGGATTTCTTAAGAGCCCCTGACAAGGCTGGAGCTGTGGCACAGTAGGTTAATCCTCCGCCAGCAGTGCTGGCATCCCATATGGGGGCCAGGCTCTAGTCCCGATTTCTCTTCTTCAACTCCAGCCCTATGCTGTGGCCCAGGAGGGCAGCAGAGGATGTCCCAAGTGCTTGAGCCCTGTACCAACATGGGAGACCAGGAAGAAGAACCTGGTTCCTGGCTTCGGATCAGCGCAGTGCTAACAATAGTAGCCATTTGGGGGGTGAACCAATGGAAGGAAGACCTTTCTCTTTGCCCCTGTCTCACAGTCTATAACTCTACTTGTCAAATGAATGAAAAAAAATTATTAAAAAAAAGGGCCCCTGACAAGATACAGGCAAGGGAGAGAATACAGTGGCTCCTGTCATTCTGCCTGGGAATGGAGAGCTCCGTTCCCACTGAGGTGTCCTGCTTAGACTCCCTCCCTTTTCCAGAAAAGAGCAAACACCAAAAACCAGAGGCTGTGGTAGGTAACTCAGCATCCAGACACCCCCACAGAAGCTCATCCCTCCTCTTCAGCTTGGAGTTCAGAGTCTGGGAACAGCCCTATATGTACCCACAATCCCTGTGGCACAGGATGGAGCTGGGGGTGTTCTTTCTCCTACAGAGAGTTGTGGAGGAGGGCTCAGGATGGCTACATTTCAGAGGATGGGCATGAGGACAGAAGGAAGGACAAGGGGATTGCACAGCTGTGTAGGCTCCATTTGCCCTCCCTCTGCAAATCCCATACAGTCCTAATATTCACATCTACTGAGCTGGGCTTGGTCACCTTGACCTTCAAGAGACATGAGAATGACAACCTATCAGTCTCATGAATCACTTGCCAGTCAGACTGATTCTCTGATCCTGAGGCTGTGCAACATGTAGGCAAAGTAAATCCCAACAAAAGCACCACATTACCTTGAATCAGCCTGTGACCTTGGACCGGACACCTCCTTTCTATGACACAGAATTCTGTCAGCAGACAAAAGGGCGTGGGTGACTTGTATGAATCTGAGGCACCAGCATGTCACCTTGCACTCTTCTGGGTCCACCTGCAATTGTCACAGCACCTCAGTTTCTCCCTGGGGGAGTTTTACATAGCCCCAGTCCATGTGGCAAACTGTTGCTCATCAACTTCCTGTCTGTGGCAGAGAGGGGCTTCATGGGATGCATCTGGAGGAATCTTGGTGCCCAGCACCAAGACTCTGCACTGTGGATTAGGCCCCTGCTTTCCGGGGCAAAGACAGACCCTGTGTGCACTTTGGTCCATGTTCACCAGCCCAGCTCCACCCAGGTGCTCCAAGGGGAGGCCTTGCCTGTGCCCCAAACATTTCCAACATTCCTGCTTCAGCTGTGGTGAGCCCTGAGCACTCACCTTGTTTCCAGCAAAGTCAGTCCTGGGGTCCAACTGAGAAAGACCATCCTGGCTCCTGCCTTCCAGAAGCTCATAGTCTGCAAGGAGAGAGAGACAAAATCTTCATAATAAAAATAGCAGGAATCAAAGAGCAAGTGCTGTAACGTACTCAGTGAGGGTTCTGCAAGAGTGCTGAGCCACTTCATGGGGGATCTGAAAGGTCTATTCTTAGGGACAGTTACGCTGGGGCAGAGGAGAAGAGGAGCCCGCTCTGCACAACGCTGACAGCAGTGTGCTGGGGAGGCTCCACTGTGTAGATTCCAGTGCAGAAGTGAGTTTGCCCAGAGAGGAGGTTAGGAAGGTGGCCAGTGGGACTAAGAGCTTGGACAGGGAGGAGGAGAGGATGGAGTGGAGCCAAAGCTGACTCTGGGGCTGGTGCACTGCCCTCAGAAACCATCAACTCCACTGTGTCCATTTACAACAACTGTGATGAGCTCATGATTTCACCTCCCCACAAGTCCAGTGATACCCCAGGGCTTCTGCTACAGTGGCTCTCAGGAGTAGGGACTGTGGCCTCAACAGAAGTTCAAGTAGGGAAGGATTTAGGGGGACTGGCAGTATTTAGTGTGGACTGAGCACAGAGTTCCCCGCCCTCTGCTTCCCTGCAGGGTTCTGTGCCACACGGGTTTCCCAAAGGCAGCAGATAACACAGTCATCTCTAAGGGCAGGGGACTAACAGAGGGTGGGCAGAAAGAGGGAAGAGGAGGAGGATGAAGGAGGGGAGGGGAAAGACATGAGGAGGAGAGGAGAGAGAAGAACTGAGAAGAGAAAGGCTTTAGTTGCAATCACATCACATCTAAATCTCGCAGATGACATCTCATCCTATCGACTAGAAGACAGTCCCTAGCTGAATACAAACTTCAGGACGGGGACTACATGGGAAACTGCACCAGGAGGTGAGGGGAGCTGGGAGATGCTAGAAGTCTGCCCACTGTGCCAGTTTTGGTGGCCTGGATTGAGCCATCAATTTCACCACCTGCATCCCACATAGAAACCTGGTTTGAGTCCTGATTAGTCCGCCTCTGATTCAGCTTCCTGCTCATGTGCCTAGGAAGGCAGCAGAAGATGGCCCAAGTGCTTGGATCCCTGCCAACCACATGGGAGTCCCAGATGAGGGCCCTGGCTCCTGCCTTCAGCCTGGCCCAGAGCTGGCTCTTGCAGCCCTTTGTGGAGTAAACCAGTGGATACAAGATCTCTAGCTCCCCTTCTCTCTCTGCTGTGCAAACAAACAAATCATTACAAACATAATTCTGTTCCACACACAAGTCGATGGCAGGTACTAAGGTCTAGGCCTAAAGAAGAAGAGAACACACTGGAAGGTCTGGGAGGACAATATCTGATTTGATCAATTCAAGCCACTAATGACGCAGTCAGAGAACTGATGCAAAGGAAGGAAGGTGGATAATGCCAAGCTCACATAACAGGAATCAGGTCTGCTTTTCAGTTGTCCAGGCTACTTTGAAATCATCAGACAAAAAGGGGATTGGTGAACCATGTGCACGTCCCACGAATGAGTCAAAGACCCTGTATCCCAAGTGACCTGACACCCTCTTCTGTATTTAGCTCTACTTTTTGCATTAGATACATAGGACACCAGCCATAGGCTCACTCAGTATTGTCCCTTGTATAGCTGATGACATCCCTAGAGTAGATTCTAGAATGATCCCACTCTGCTGCTCTGAGACTGGAAATGTCCTGAGAGGCACAGTAACTGATTCAGGGTTCAACCCTGGTGAAAGACAGGGGCTGGAAATAAGGTTGCATGTGTCTGTGACTGTGGTAGCACCCAGGAAGACCATAGGCCCTGCTCGGAGGGGGCACTGGTGTCACTGTGTAGAGAAACAGAGACAGCATGGGACAGCAGGGTGGGAATACATTTGCTCCCAGGGTGGTTTGGGGACTTCTTATGGGAGAAGAGGGGTGAGATAAGGAAGCCCCAACTGTAACCGTGCCACTTAGAGACAGGCCACAACAGATCCTGTAACCCCGGTAACCAGGCACGAACATTCTAGAGAGAGGCCCCTGCCCAGCTCATTTGGTGAGAGACGCTTGACAGAACAAGATGTTCTCTTGCTGTGTTCCCACTTCTCGAGGCCATGGCCCGAGAAACCCACGTGATGAGGGGTTGTGGCAGCAATTTCAATGCTGGTTCTCACCTTACCCCCACCACCCCCAGCCTTGTAGCACACGGCAACCACAGGTAACTCAGGACCACCCAGGACAGAGCTGTTCAGGCCAGGACTTCATGGTGAAAGCACCTGGGCTGCCCCAAAACACCTTTATTGGGGAGGGGGAAATAGTATGTGAGGGGAGGGCCTATCATGGGCAGGTGGTGGTCAGGCTGGGAGACCTTAACCTGGTGGTCCTGTCACCTTCACACTTCAGGTCATGGCTGGCAGAGCAGGAAGAAATCATCTGGGCACTCACAACTGCCCAGATGTTATTTCACATCCCGCATGCCAGCATGCCCCATCCTCTAGGGGGTTTTCTGTGATGCAAGGTCCATGTGGTCAGGAGAAGAGGAGGTCCCGAGGGCAGAAACAGAGGGAAAGGGACCAGGCAGGGCCCTGATGCTTGCTCTGCACCTGCCGGGCACTGTCTTTCCAGAGCTCCAAGCACAACAGAGGTCAGAAGTTGCTGAACAAGGTCCTGTACTCCATCTCCCGCATGGAGAGACAGGAGGCCAACAGAGGCCGCTGTTGGCCCAGGGTGAGTAGGAGTGCAGAGGGGTTCCACATCCTGGCCCCGATGCCACCCCACGTGCTTGCTTCTCAGGGCTTTTAGATGGGTGTGGGGTGGGGTCAGCATAGTGCCATCAGTGCGATGCAGGACAATAATCAATGAAGGCTTTGGCATTGGTCTGAACTCCAGCTCCTACACTTCTGGTGGCTCCTGGAGCTTGCACTGACTGTGTGTCCCTCATTCTAACCTAGGTGAAGAAGCCATCTAACCTGATCGAGTATGATGTCCACGTTGGGTGGAGGGCCCAGGAGGACACGCTGCAGAAGCTGGTGGACCACCTGGTGCCAGCCTTCCTGGGCTTTGAGCCCTCGTATGTTCCCGCCTTCCTGAGAAGCTACAGAGCTTTTGCCACCACCGGGCAGGTGCTGAACGCACTGTTAGGAAGGTCAGTCTTCTCAATCTCCAGGCCACCCCTAGCTGTGAGTCTTGGCAAGCTCACCCCACCTTCTTCTCATTATTTTCCCCTCCTTGAAAGGGAGTTCTTGCTATAGCCCTTTATGATTCTCTGAAATTGAGCTGAACGGTTGAATACATTTTTTTCACTTATTCCTTTGAGAGAGGGACAGGGAGTAAAAATTCTTCCATCTGCTGTTCCACTACAGAATTTGCCTGAAGAGATGAGCTAGGAGAGACTGTAGTCAAAAACCAAGAAGTCAATACAGACCTCCTACATGGGTGATAGGGACCCCAGGACTGAGTTAAAACCTCTCCACAAGGCTGCACATTCACAGGGCCCTGGATTGAAATTGGAATGAAGACTCCAACCCAGCAGCTTGGATATGGGAAGGGGGCATTTCAAGTGACATAACACTGTGCCAAATGCCCATGCAAGGTTAAGCTGTTTCTGTATTTGTTGAGCAGGGTCCAGATTCCATCCAGGTGTTTTGGGGTTGAACTAGACCAGGGATATGTGATGAGGGCAGGAGGACTGCAGACCTATTCAGCTTCCTTTGGAACAACCAGGATGGAGTTTTTCTGCCATGGTGGCCATGAAGTCACATGATCTGCAGGACCTTTCTAGGCAGTGACCTTGATGCACAGCATAGGACAGGCCCCAGTCCCTGCTGGACTTCCCTTCTTGGTGGACTCAGACATGTTCAGTGGACAGGGGGTGCCCACAGTGTGACCAATGTGATACCGTCCTTGCCTCTCTAGGTTCCCATGGTTCCCTCCTACTGATGAAGGTGTACTCCAGGATGCAGTCAAACAGTGAGTGGGTGTGGTGGAGGTGGAGGGACCCAATTTTTTTTTATGACAGTTTTGATGACATTGGGCTGGAAGTGTGGGGTCTGTGGGTTGCATGCAACTAGAAGGAGCCTTGGATCTGAACATCCTGTGATGCTCTTGCAGAGCTGAGGTCTGTGTGGTACCCTGTAGGAATGAAGCTGCCAGAGAGCTGGGACTGGGCCACAGGCACTGTGGGACATGGAGGGGTAGCGGGAGGACAAGATAAAGCCCTGAGGGAATCCAGCACCACCACCTCTCATCCAAACCTGCTTTCACCATCAGTCCATCATGGGACCCAAAGTCGGAGTGGGGGCATCCTGCTCACAAATATGGCTGCAGTTCCACAGTGAGGCATGATGGGTGTTCAGAGATTGCAGCCAGTACCCAGGGCTCAGGCCCCTGCGGGACATGAGCAGCACTGGAAGAGCAGACCCATTCACTGTGCTGTCAGCACTAACATTTGAGGATAGTAGCACAGGCCTCAGGAGCCTGGGACAGAGGTTGCCCTCCTTGCTTCCTCCTGCTTCAGTTACTTAGGTAGCACCTACTGAGTGCCAGAGAGTGAGTGCACCAAGCTGATAACCTCCAACTCTGCATTTGTGGTGCTGGCACTCTAGGGAGGACAAGACACAGACAACAGCGTGCATCAGATTTCACTGTAAAGGGAAATGTGGTGACACCAAGGTCAATGGCTCCCTCTCATATGGCCATTTGTCAGTCTCCCTTAAGGCACCAGGGCTCTATCCTGGCTGTTTACCAGTGGCATGAGCTGGGTCAGAGCTATGGGAGGCACTGAAGCCCCACCTGTATCTTGGGAAAATGGTGCAGCCTGAAGGGCCAGGCTTCTCACTGGACTGCCCACCTGCCCCCCCAGTGCTATCTCGTCCATCCTGACCACCTGGCTGGAGCAATACCCAGAAGATTTCGATCATCCCCCGCAGTACACCAGTCTGCATGTGCTGCTGGACTATGCACAGCTCCTCTTGCGTGACTCAGAGCTGGGGCACCGTGTGCAACTTCTCCTGGGATGGTTGCAGCATCCGGAGCCCACTGAGGCAGAACTAGAGGGTGAGCAGGACGGGGATGAGTGCATGTGAGTGCACGGGGAGGTGAAGAGTTTGGGTCACACTCAGAAAAGCTTCCAGAACCAGGGGCGGGTCTAGGAGCAACAAGGGATCAACTTCCTGAAAGTCATTCAGGAAGCAGAATTTGGGTCAAAGGCTTCCCTGAGAGTCAGAGACAAGGTTTTGTCTCTGGAAGGGACAGGAAAAGTCAGGCCTGCTGCTGATATGTTCTCCTCCTGTGATTCCAGGTCCAGCGGAAGCTCCAATTCCACAACAAGAGCTTGCGCCACCTCCATCTCTGTTGCCAGATGGAGTTCCACAGGCAGAAGAGGCTCACACACCAGCTCTGGAAACCTCCAGGGAGCTCACACCAGACCCCTCTGTGGCAACAGCTCCTGCTGCAGAGCCAGCGAATGCCGCAGATTCAGATCCAGACCCCACCCCAGTCTCTGACCTACTGCAACCTTGTGGGCAGGAAATGCCTGTTGCCGAGTCCCAAGACCTTGAGCTCTTTGCAGCTCCACAGCTGGCACCTGTCCCTGAGCCAGCGCTCACAGCCCCCTCCCTTACTACACAATATGTAGTAATGTTCATCTTTCTCCTTTACCTCCGCATAAGAAATTACTATTCAGTATACTATAAAATTCACTTTTAATAAAATTTACTATTTTAACTTTTTAAGGTATTCCATGGAAACCACTTTAATTGATGCTGTGTGTCCATCACCACTGTGCCACTCTGGAATCTTTCAGCCATCTGTACTCCCCAAATATTTGCCTTCAACCATCCATCCCTAGTCCCTGGTAAACTCTTCACTCTGTCCTCACGCCTGTAACTATAATAGATGTTACGTATCCATGTCCTAACACAGTAAATGGCTTGTCGTTTCTTGCCACTTCATAGAAAACCTGCTGGTTACATTCCTTTATTTTCTTTAAAGACTTACTTATTTTTATTTGAAAAGCAGAGAGAGAGAGAGAGAGAGAGAGGGAGAGCGAAAGATGTCCTCCATCATCTGGCTCTTTTCCCAAAAGTCAGCGATGGCCAGGTCTGACCAGGCCAAAGCCAGGAGCTTTTTCCAGGTCTCCCATGTGGACACAGGGTCCCAGGTTCTTGGGCCATCCTCTACTGCTTTCTCAGGTGCATTAGCAGGAGCTGCATCAGACATGGAACAGCTGGGACTCAAACTGGCACCCATATGGGATGCTGGATATGCAGGCAGCAGATTAACCTGTTAACGCTACAACACTGGCTCATATGTCTTTAAAAAAAGAAAAAGAAAAAAAAGAATATCCTTTAGAAATCAAAGCTTGTATGTTAAAAAATAAATTATCAACAAGAAATATTTTCACAATCTTAAAATAGGAAATATTTTCCTATGACATGAGAGCTAGATAAGAAAATAAGTGCTTTTGTAGCCAAAAGAAAAACAAAAAAACATTAAAAGCTAGGAGACCATCCTCAAACGAGAAAGTGTTCCATTCAGGCCATGTCCAGACTCATGGTTCATATCCCAGGGACACTTAGAACTTGCTGGAATCAAGTGTTGTTTCTATTTTTAAAATATTGATTTGAGAGGCAGAATGAAGGGGGGCAGGGGCAGAGGAGAGAAGACAGGGAGCACTCAGCACTCCAGTCTGCTGGTGGGAACTTTCAAAATATTTTCTATAACCTTGAATTGTTATCTCAGTATATACAAAAATAATCACATTTTGTGGTTATAAAAAGAACAATGCATTGTGTTAGCAGCTATCCACACACTTCACCTATTATGAAATTCAAGTTGATTAGCTAGCCTGAATTTTATAGCATTTCTGACACAGAGAGAACTAAGAACTATTTAATAGAGTAAAACAAGCAGTCCAGCTTAACTGCAAAATGAAATAAAGGATGATGTGGTCCCTTCACCCACAAGTGTTGCCCACTCTGTGAGGTCCTTCTCCTTCCCAGCCTCACCCTGAGATTCAGGTCTGTGTGTCTTACCTGGATGGGGACACACCCAGGCCATGTGTTCTTCTGTCATCTCCTGTCAGCTTGGGGTGAAAACAGTTGGTTTCCTGTCCCTTGTGCACCTTCATCAGCCACACAACTCACTCAGCAGACCCTGCTGTGCAATCCTGGACTCTGTCAGGGTCGGCACTGTGGTGCAGTGGGTTAACACCCTTGCCTGAGTGCCGGCATCCTCTATGGGTGCCCGTTTGAGACCCAGCTGCTCCACTTCCAATACAGCTCTCTGCTGTGGCCTGGGAAAGCAGAAGATGGCCCAAGTTCTTGGGCCCATGCACCTGCATGGGAGACCAGGAAGAAGCTCCTGGCTCTTGGCTGCGGATCAGTGCAGCTCCAGCCATTGCGGCCAGTTGGGGAGTGAACCATCGGATGGAAGACCTCTCTTTCTCTGCCTCTCCTCTCTCTGTGTAACTCTTTAAAATAAATAAATATATTAAAAAACATACTGGGCTCTGTCAATTTTCCATTCCCAGATTATGCTGAAGGGCACTCGTGCCTTTGTGAATATCTACATTTAGTATGGATGCCTAGAAGTCAAACTTCAAATTGCACACATTTCCAAAGTGCTGCCTTCAGGTTGAGTCTCTTCCTCCAGTTGAGGCCTGTTGGGGAAGTAGGAGCTGCAGGGACACTGAGAGGAACCCCTGAGAATTAGAGGGAGGTGGACAAGCCAGCAGTGGCAGCTCCCACAATGCCTGGGAAGGAACCACGGGACAGAGGAAGGCCCCACTGAACCCCTAATGCGTCCTGACAGAGCTCTCAGAATACCATCTGGACACTGTGCCCAGGAAGCAGGAGGGCAGCCTGATTTCTCTCCCTGCTAGCAAGGACCTCCTTCTTGTCATGCAGGAAACTTCTCTAGGGGGAAGACAGCAAATTATGATGAGCACTTTAATGTGTAGGCACCAGGTCACCTTCTCAGCTGCAATGGCAAGGACCCACTTGAACTTGTGTGAGCAGAGGACTTCTTTCCAAAGTATACTTGGTAGGTTTCAGGGAAACCAATGGGCAGGTCACAGTCATACAGAGGCTTACAGCTGAGAACAGCCCTGAATTACCACCAGGCCCTTCCCGTATTGACATTTGTCCCTACTTGTGGGCCAGCCAGTGACCCTGGTATCCCTCATGCTCAACTTCTGTGTGGGAGTGGCTCTGCCCCTCCCAAGACTCCAAATTAGGAGGAGGGAAGACAGCCCTTAGGTCCTCCACGTGGAGGTCAGAGGAGTCCACTGGTGTGGGACAGCCAAGATCAGCACATCCTCTCTCTGGGAGAGAGGGTGCCAGCACTGGTGTCACTGTGTAGTGATACCAAGATAACACAGGATAGGAGAGTGGGAAGATACTATCCAAGAAAGGTATTTGGAAATGTAAGGATTGCTTATTTGTAGAACGCTGAGGTAAGAGGATCCCAAGTGTAACTCAGCTCCTTATAACTAAAGTATCTGGCTAACTAATTTTTTCAATGCCCTAAATAGACTATTTGGTAATTTTAGATCCTGCTCAAACCAGAAACCCCAAAAGTGCTCCTGCAAGTAACTTAGTGCTCCCACGGACAAAAGGAAAACAAGAAAAACATTAAAGCTGGGATGACAATCCTCAGTCTAGAAAGTGTTCCTTACAGGTTATGATCAGCCCAACACTTAACATCCCTGCAGCTCTTAGAACTCTCATGAATCAATTATTTTTTTAATTTTATTGAAATCCTATTCAAAAATTACCTATTTGAAAGGCAGAGTGACAGAAAGAGGGAGAGATGGAAAGATAGAGAGAGAGGGAGAGTTCTTCCATCTGCTGACTCACTATCCAAATGGCTCCAACCACTGGGACTGCACCAGGACAAAGGAAACCAGAACTTTATCCAGATCTCCCACGTGGGAGTCAGAGATCCACACTTGGGCCATTTTCATCTGCCTTGGTGAGTGCATTATCAGGGAACTGGATCTGAAGCAGAGCAGTTGGGACTCAAACCAGGACTCTGATATGGAATGCCAATGTTTCAGTTGGTAGCTTAACCAACTGCGCTGCAACCATGGCCCGTATTCTTGTACTTTTAACACATTTCGTGGTGCTGGCACCATGGCATAGTGGGTAAAGCCGCCGCCTTCAGTGCCAGCATCCCATATGGGCACTGTGTTGAGAACCGGCTGCTCCAATTCCATTCCAGCTCTCTGCTATGGCCTGGGAAAGCAGTAGAAGATGGCTCAAGTCCTTGGGCCCCTGTATCCACATGGGAGACCTGGAAGAAGCTCCTGGCTTCTGGCTCCTGGCTCCTGGCTTCAGATTGGTGCAGCTCCAGCCATTGCAGCCAAGTACAGAGTGAACCAGTGGGTGGAAGACCTTTCCTTCTCTCTCTCTCTCTCTCTCTCTCTCTCTCTCTGCCTCTCTGTGTAACTCTGACACTCGAATAAATAAATAATTATTTTTTAAAAAAGAATTATTTTATTTCTTTGAAAGGCAGAGTTACAGAGAGAGGTAGAGCCAGAGCCAGAGAGAGAGAGAGAGAGAGGTCTTCCATTCTGCTGGTTCATTCCCCAAAAGACAACAACAGCCAGAGCTTAGCTCATCCAAAGCCAGGAGCCAGGAGCTTCCATCAGGTCTCCCACGCCAGGGCAGGAGCCTCAGGACTTGGGCTATCTTCTGCTTTCCCAGGCCATAGCAGAGAGCTGGATTTGAAGAGGAGCAGCCAGGACTAGAACTGGTGCCCATATGGGATGTTGGTGCTGCAGGCTGGGGCTTTAACCCACTGCACCACCGTGCTGGCCCCAAGAAAAAAATCTTAAAAAAAATTTCTTTGAGAGATATGGAGTTTTACAAATTACAAGAAACATATATAGAGAACGAGAGTGAGAATGCTGCCATCTGCTGGTTATTTCCCCAAGTACCCCAGAGGGACAGAAGTGGACCCCTGTGAAGAAGAGTGTGGAGAACTCAATCCAGGTCTCCCATGAGTGTGTCAGGTACCCAACCCAGTATTTGAGCCTTCACTGATGCCTTCAAGGTTCAAAAATTATCAGATATTAGAGTTGGAGCCACAGCCAGGAAGTAAACTCACATACTCTAATGTGTGATTCAAGTATATTAAACAGTATTTTAACCCCTAGGTTACAAGCCTGTCTCTAAATTGACTTCTTCAAAGGGACCAGGTTTAACCCCATGCAATGTTAATGGGAAGCAAACCATAGGGTTGTTAAATGTCAGACCTGCTCTGCCTCCCTGAACCAGAAGGAAAAGTGCTGAAAACAATTGTTCCATTGCGGATACTCATGGCTTACATCCAAATTCCTAAATGCAGTCGAAACGAGGCCAGTCCTCAGCTCATAAAGCAGTCATTAAAACTGATCACTAAATCTGTTGGGGTACTTCTATCCAAACCAAAATGCTATAGAAACAGGAGAAAAGATGTTTAAGACTAAAATAAAATGCTTTAAAAACAGTGCTCCCAGTCCTAGCTTATACTGTCAAATTCTTTGAACACAGCAGGGCATTATACAGGGGGAAAGAATAGCATTCCTATAAATTCCCTTCTTTTTAAATACATTTATATATATATATATAGATACACATCTAAAAATATATATCAGGGATGACTTTAATCTTCATTCATATACTGGATGTTAACTAAATGCTGTACTCTTTGGGGGGATACTATGAATTCTCCTTTAAAAAATCAGTTTAACAATTGAATAAGCCATAGGTGAAAATGTGTATTTGTAGAGTGAGTCATTCTCTATGGACACCAAAATCAAGAAAACCTCTAGCAAGGACAACAAGGGAATCCCATAATCAAAGTTGTAAAGTCTAACCAGAGCTACTGCTCTGAAAGCTCGCGGACACCCTTGCTGTTATTTGATACACATTAGCAACAGATTTGGGTGTCTAAGACACAGCCATATCCATGGGCCACTTACTAGCTGAATCCCTCATGCCAGTTACTTCACTTTTCTGAGCCTTGGTTTGCTCACCTGGGAAATGATGATAAATAGCTGTACTCTAAGACTCCTGCAAGGATTAGAAATAATTGTAGCCTGTGTCAACACAGAGCCTGGCATTTAGTAGATGTGTGACAAATGTAGCTGAAATCATAATCCTAGCATTTACAAGCCTATAACAAATTGAGGAGAAAACTCAAATCTCAAGGTTCGGGAAGGGGAACTCCACATAGCTCCAAGAAAAGTGGCTGACAGTAAGGAAATGGTCAAAAAATCTTACAGACGCAAAGCTCTGAAACAGCAGACTCACACCATCAACTACCCACTTCAAGAGCTGTTGAGGGCAGTACTAATGTTCTCACAAGATGGAGCAATGATGTGTATGAAGACAGTATTGAGATCTTTTAAAAAAATTAAGTATTTATTCAATGTATTTTAAAAAGACAAATAAGCACACAGTTGACTAGGAAGACTTCTCTCAAAAGTGATTTAGCATCATAAATTTTACACTTAAAACCCTGCCAGGCCAGCGCCACGGGTCACTTGGCTAGTCCTTCACCTGCAGCACTGGCACACCAGTTCTAGTCCTGGTTGGGCACCAGTTCTGTCCCGGTTGCTCCTCTTCCAGTCCAGCTCTCTGCTGTGCCTGGGAAGGCAGTGGAGGACAGCTCAAGTGCTTGGGCCCTGCACCTGCATGGGAGACCAGGAGGAAGCACCTGGCTCCTGGCTTTGGATCAGCATAGCGCGCCGGCCGTAGCGGCTATTTGCAGGGTGAACCAACAAAAGGAAGACCTTTATCTCTCCTCTCTCTCACTAACTCTGCCTGTAAAAAAAAAAAAATCACCTGCTTCAAAGGCAGTTAGTTGGCAGTGAACTGATCCAAACACAGGGGAATTGATTGATGGCCTTCAATTCCCCTAAGGACAAGGCTAGGGCTCTGATGATTTCCAAGAAACCCATAAAGGATTAGAGCATGGTAAAGAGGCAACTATGGCAGCAGATTACAACAAATGAGTCAACCACTGACCAGCTTGGACCTGTGTCCACCTGGAGTCACCACCACAAGCAGAGTGCCCACAAGAGCTCCCTGGAGAAAATCTGCTTCACTCTGGTCATCAGTGACCTCATCCAACCAAAGGCAGGCCAGAAGTTCCACCATGAGAAAGGTACACCTTATGAAGAACAGAAACTGGAAAATCTTTTAAGTGAAGGCTTTACATCCTATGGCATTTTTTAAGATAGTTTTCACTTAAGATA